GTCGGGGCCTTAGGGCGCCGCGGGCTGGATTCCCGAACTCTGGACTTCTGCAGACCTGCCGGTTCCCCCAGTCCCTGGGGGCCCTCCTTCCCTGGTGCCAACTCCCGCGCTCTTACAGGAGCGCGCTCCTGGGAAGCCTTCTCTGTCTTTCTTGCCCCACGCGGCACACCCGCCGGGAGGCGCCCTACCTCTCAGTTCGAGGGGGCCGTCTGATATATTTGGGGACGCGGTGCACATTGGAAACCCTGTGGTTTTTGGCGTTCAACCAGCCACTACCTCCATTCCGCTTTCTCCGGGTCCACTTCCTTCTAATCCCTCATCTGGATCCTTCCCTGCCCCGCCTGAAGGTTGTCCGAATCCGCCTGCCCCATCCCTCAGCTAGCAGCTCACAAAGCCCCATCCGTGGTGGACCCCTTTCCAGAGAGAACCCTCCCTGCAGGGCTGGGTTTCCTGCTGACTTCCTTGCCTAGAAGGGCCGGGGGGGGTTTGAATCCCGGCTCTCGCGCGCTTAGCTGGCCGTGGGACCTAGGAAAGCTTTCCTTCTCTCTCTACGACCTAGGAAGGCTTTCGGTCTCTCCGAGCCTCGGTTTGTACATCATTACAATTGGGGTTTTGTAGAAGGGCTTGACACAGAGGCGACAATAAATGGGCACTACTATACCTCCCCTTCTAGTTTCCATTTTTCCACGTATTTTTTTTCTTTTAAATTCTCCCCAAAATCTTCACTGTTTCTCACTTGAAAGAACAAAAGGCCCAAATCGTTATAACTACTGTTATTTTTATCACCCTCCCCCGTAAGCTCCAGGAGAGACTTGATTTTGATGCCCCGGGGCCTCAAGAGAGGCAGGCAGTTTGGGCCCTAGGCTTCACTCTGTGCCCTTCCCCTTCTCCCCAAGGCTGGGGCACGGTCATACTTAGCCCCCTCCCCCTTGGTGAGCAGCTGAAGAGTCTGCAGCCCCCCTTTATTATTTGAAGGTCTTAGATCTAGTTGGGGAGCACAAGAGCTTCTGGGAAGAAAGAACCCACCCCCCTTCAAAGGAAGGTGGGTCATTCAAGGAGCTGATGGGCATGATCTAAAAGAGCTTTGCCTACCAAACAGCCTGTATTATGGATTCGTTGTTGTTATCAATGATTGTTGTACAAGGAACCCCATCTCCGAGGCAGAGTCAGAGAGATACCTTGGCTGGGCTTTGGCTGCCCAGGCGCCTCCCTTCACTACTCACCTGGGACACTCCCTGGAGCAATGTTGGCAGAAATGCTGGGGGCGTTGGGAGCAGTTGCCCAACCTGATACTGATTCTCCTTGCAGAGGGGGCTGGTGAGGATCTGGCACCTGGGTGTGTAGTGCCTGGAGTTACCAGCACCTACAGACGGATCCAGGACACTGCTGATTGGTGCTTATCAGACCCCTGGAATGAAAATAGCCAGCTGAGAGGTCCAGGGAGGCAGGTGCCACTTCTGAAACTGGCCTCCCGGGACTCAGGAGTGGAGATGGCAGTTGGGGACAGCTCCTTGGCCACCTCACTGGGCCTTTCTCAGGACGTTTTGGACTTTGAGCCCATGGGGAGCTCTGAGCCCCCAACTCTTGCTGTCATGGAGCCGCCTGCCCAGCTAGGCAGACTCCTGGCTAGCCACAAGCTGGAGCAGGTGCTGGAGCCGTCCCACGGGCTCCCGACTTCGCCTGCCAGGTCGTCACGACAGTACTGCCCCCTCCAGCCGCCAAGCAAGCCTGAGTATGAAGTGCCCCCTTTTGGAGCAGGGGAACAAGAGGCCACTGTGGCAGAAACTGGCCTGGAGGCAGGTCTGGAAGAAGCAGAGGTGGTGAGTGCCACACTCAGGCTGGGCAAAACTGGGATGCAGACAGTCGTTTTACACTGGGGCCGGTAAGGGGCCCCCTGCTCCCTTGGTTCTCCCTGGAACTCTCTCGGGGTGCGGCATTCTTTGTCCCTAATTGGTAGGTTGGGTCACAGCTGCTTGCCTCACCTCACTCCTAACTGTGTGTAGCTGTCCCAACAGAGGAGGTAGGCAGGTTCAGGCCCTGCCTGGCATCATGCTTGGCTGGGTACTGGGGAAGCCAGCAGGGCATGTGTGTACCCCCTCTGCCTGCTCGCTCTGCCCCCATCTACCGAGTAAGCAGGCTGGCTGCCTAGGGTGGGAGTCTGGGCGCATTCAGAAGTCTTCCTTCCATCACTGTGTCCCACAGGTGGGGGGCTTGGAGGCTAAAGTCTGGACCAGCCTCCCAGGGCAGGGTCTTCGTTACCTAGAACACCTGTGCCTAGTGCTGGAGCAGATGGCGAGGCTCCAACAGCTCTATCTGCAGCTGCAGACCCAGAGGCCTGCTAGGGTGAGTGAGCCTCAAGGTGGTTAGGCCAGTGAGTGGGGAGGCCCATGGGGGAGGCAGAGGAGGGGTGTGACGCCTGGCCTCATGCCTCCCTCTGAACAGCCTCAGCTCTCTAGTTAGGCCCTGATTGCCCTCTCCCTCTTGTGCACAGGACCCTGAAGAGGAGGAGGAGTCTGCCCTGGCCCCTTCACCTTCACGTGCCCCAGGCAGTGAGGTGCAGGTGTCATGTGACCTGCTTAGCCAAACAAAGGAGACAGGTGAGGGACAATTGTGTCTCCCTTCCCCTGCGCCTTGCCTGCCCAGGGCCCAACAGCAGACCCGCTTGATAGGGTGGCCCCTGGGTAACTTGACTCTTCCTCTGAAGGGACAAAAGCAGCTTCATTCCCAAAAGTGGGGGTGCCCAGCAGCAATCCTCCTAACCTGCCAGTGGCCCCAGCAGAGCCAACTCATACCGTTCCATCCTCCCAGGGACACAAGGTAGGTGATGTGTGTGTGTGGGGTAGGGGTAGGTGGGAGGATGGGTTGGTGATGGGGATGTATGGACACCCCTAAGGCCGGAAACTTTGGGAAGATGACAGCATTCCTGTCTGGAGCAGGTGGCTTGTCCAGTCTGTGGTGACAGCTGTCCCTGGGAGCGTGGTCTAGGGTATGTGTTGGGGGAGGGGCTCTGTGGTGACCCCTCACCCTCTGCTCAGCTGGATCTCTCACACTGGGACAAGGTCAAGGTCTTGCTCAACCGGATCCCCTGGAGAAGCTCTCAACACCCTGAGCCCCCTGCCCCTCCCAATGGCCCCACCTCCAGGTGAGTTCTCTGGTCCAACCCAGCTTAGGGCAGGGGGCAGAGTCTGATGACCAGGATGCTGGGATTGTACTGCCAGGAGTTGTCTTTGTCCCCATGAACTCTGAGAGAAACAGTCTTGGAGGGGATGCTGGAAGAGAACCAAAAGTAGTTAAAACATTCCATTTACAGATGAGGCTGGGGGCTGGGGTGGAGGAGGGAAGTCACTTTTCCAAGGGCACAAGGTAAGTTGGTGACAGAGCCAGGACTAGAATATGAGACAGCTCCTCACCCCAGCCCAGCAAGCCCTCACCCCTCAATGCTGAAACTTTCCGGGGGTGGGGGTGGGGGTGGGGGGGCTAAGGGAACAGGGAAGGGAGGAGCAGGTAGGGGCACAAAGAATTTGCAAAGGGTGAAGTCCATTATGTTTGGGGAGTTATATGCCAGTAATTTTCCAGGGAGAGAAAATGCTATGTCAGTTAATGTCCCTAGGTTCCCATGGAAACCCTGGTGGTGTAGTGGTTAAGAGCTATGGTTGCTAACCAAAAGGTCAGCAGTTTGAATCCACCAGGTGCTCCTTGGAAACCCTATGGGGCAGTTCTGTTCTATAGGATTGCTATGAGTTGGAATCAACTCGATGGCAATGGGTTTGGTTTCTTTTCTTTTTTTTTTGGTTCCCCGTAGCAGATAAACAATGTTCTATCAGTTCTGGGGCCATTGTCACCTTTGTTTTCTCTTCCTCGCTTCATGCTTTCTTTTTCTTTTTCACAGGATTGAGTCAAGGGACCTCCCTGAAAAGCCTCAGTGTCGCCTCCACCGGAAGACCTTTATGCCATCTTTAGTGGTTAAGAAACAACGAGCAAAAAACCTTTCTGTTTGCTGAGACCTCATCGTGCAGGGACATGACCCTGGGTGGAGGGGTGTGCAGTGGAGTCTTCTTCCTCACCCTTTGCCCTGTTGCCGCTTCTTGTCACTGCCAGGAAAAGCTGCTGATGCTTGCCCTTCTGAGGTGAGGGCCGGGTCTTTCTCCTCTGAGCAACCTGGCAGTGGGGCCCTGTTCCGTGAGAGGCCCCCCAATGTGGCAGCTCCAATGGCCCTCTCTTTGCCAGAAATCCCTTGGCTTATACAATGTGAACTAACTTATTTATCAAGTGTCCACGGAGCGTGTTTGGCACGATGATCTGTCCAGGCCCAGCGTGTTGCAGATACGTATTTATGCGTAATTTTATTTCTATAGCTGTGAGACTCTCAGTGGTGTGAACTGGCTGGATCCAGCCATCTCTCCTGGAATCATGCACCCCCAAAAATTGGTCTTCTGGGTGAGGTGATCTATGGAAAGATGGAACTGACCTTTGTTCATTAGTGTGCAGTTACTGATCTGGATCCCTGCTTTCCTCAGACCTGCATGGGTAGCCCTGGACAGAGAATGGTGCTGATGTGGCTGCCTCTGCATTGAGTCTTGCCTCTGGAGCAGAGCCCCTGAAGATTGCCCCAGGAATGGGCAGGGTCAGTGACAACATGGAGAATGGGAGAACACGTTCAAGGTCAATTCTCAGCTGCTCTGCTCCATAGTTGCTTTGACATGCCAAAGCTGAAACCGGAAGCCCGTACTAGTTTTCAGACCTTGAGAAAGTCCCTTCCCTTCTATGAGCCACAGCTTCCCACTCAGTCTCCCAAATGGGATAATGATGCCTGCCCTACCTACCTCACAGGCTTAAGGTGATGCTGAAATGAGATTAAAATGTCTTCACGTGCTCTGAATTATTAAATGAATAGGAAAGGGGAGGAGGGTACCGCTGTTGGAGGGACGGTAGACTGGAGGAGGGATGGTGCGGGAGTGAGAGGGTAAGGTAGGACTGGGATTGCTAATAGAGACTAAAATAGCCAGTGATCAGTGGCAAGACTTTGAGCAAGTCATTTTATTGAGGTCTCTTAGGTTTTATATGCGAGAAATAAGGCACTCATTCCTGACGCGCTGTGGTGAAATGAGTTCCCTTCTGTGGCCTTTTGCCTTGGTTCTTCGGAAAAACAGCTTGACAGGTTTTTCTCCTAAACCCTGAGGAGTTACCTTTGCCTTAGTTTTCTACCCCAGAGGGTTTGTTACTTTTGTCCAGGTTGATTGACATTTCCTGGGTAAGATGTAAACAACTTGATGGTTTGCTACTTTTTGTCTTCCCCTGGGCGGCAGCTTGCCCCGTGATTGGTCAATATACTATGCAAATGAAGTGACTCAAAAAACCAAATGTGTTGCTGTCAGGTCTGGCTCATAGCAACCCCATAGGGCAGAGTAGAACTGCTCCATAGGGTTTCCAAGTTTGTAAATCTTTACAGAAGCAGACTGCCACATCTTTGTCCCATGGAGCCACTAGTGGTTTTGAACCACTGAACTTTCGGTTAGCAGTTGAGTGCTTTAACCACTGCACCAGCAGGGCTCTTTGAAATTGACAAGGCATTTTTGTTTATGTGTATAGCTAACCCCACCAAGGTTTCAGGAAGAAGGAGAAAGGAGAAGCAGAGAGAGAGGAGGTGAAGACCCTAAAAGCTTAACGCAGGTCAAGGGCTATGACACTGAAGACCGTGAGAGGCCTGCAAGGGGCCCTGGGGCAGAGTTGGTGGTGATGGCAGAAACCTGCTGCCAGGAATGCAGCTATGCTTGTTACGAGCTGCTATACTGGCCGTGAGCTGGGTTTCTTAGCAGTGGAGAGGCCGATGGCAGGGAAGCTGAAGGCAGAGAGACCTGCATGGCAGGGAGCGGATGTGCAGGGCCAGGAAGCCTGTCCTGAGGAGGCCGAGAGGGGGTGTCCGTGGCGGAAAGAAGGACCTGCTTGCTTGCATGGCTGAGAGGAGCTGAGAGAGCTCTCCTGCACTGAAGAAGGGAGGGATGTGCTTTTTCCACTTCAGGGGAGCCTTCCAGACTTTGCCTACATGCTTCCTGATCCCAAGTTGTACCGTTACTTCCTTAATAAACCACTTAATTGTAAGTATGGTCTGTGAGTTCTGTGTGGTTGTTACAGTGAACTCTCAAACCCAGCAGAGAAGTAGAAGGTCCCATAATGAGGACAGCTGGTGTCAGAATTGGTAAAAAGGCTGGAGAGTGGAGGTATATTTGACCTCTACCTCACAGCAATCAGCGTGGGGCTGATGGTGATTCTTTTCCCGGTGAAGTTAGAGGACACATGCTTACCTCAAAGGGTGGTTTCAAGGAAAAAGGAAATGTCCAAGAGAGTTCTTTGTAAAAGTCTGTGGAAATATCATATTTTTAGTTGCCGTTGAGTCAGTCCCTGACTCATGGCAATCCCATGCACAACAGAAAAAAAAATGCTGCCCGATTCTGTACCACCCCCTTGATCAGTTGGGGATCAGACTGTTGTGATCTATAGAATTTTTATTGACTCATTTTTGGAAGTAGACCACCAGGCCTTTCTTCTAGTCCATCTTAGTCTGGAAGCTCTGCCGAAACTGCTCAGCATCATAGCAACATACAGACGGGTGATGGCTGGGCATGAGGTGCATTGGCCTGGGATTGAACCCAGGTCTCCCGCATGGAAGATGAGAATTTTAATACTGAACCACCGCTGCCTTACCTAAATATTACCGGTGGTTTATTTTACTAAGGCCTAGTTAGGATCTGTTATGGATTGAATTTGTCCCCCAAAATTATGTGTTGTAAATCCTAACTTCTGCCTGTGGTTATAATCCCATTTGTGAATGGGTTGTTTTTGTTACATTAATGAGGTAGGATTAGTGTAGGGTATATTTTGCATCAGTCTCTTTTGAGATACAAAAGAGATTAAACGGAAGCTAGCAAGCGACACGGGAAGAAAGATGCCAAGCCACATGAAGATCGCCTAGGAGCAGAAGTTCAAAGAGACAAGGATCTTCCCCCAGAGCCACAGAGAGAGCCTTCCCTTACAGCTGGCACCCTGAATTCAGATTTCTAGCCTCCTGAACTGTGAGAAAATAAATTTGTTAAAGCCGTCCACTTGTGGTATTTCTGTTATAGCAGCATTAGGTAATTCGAGAAAGGTGGAAAGCTTAATCTCTTGCAGGTACCCAGAAATTGGGAGGTGTGTGTTGGGGTGTGGTCTCTGGAAGGGCAGGTTTAGGGGTGGGTCATTTGCTTTTGAGTCACTGACACAGGAATATCTCGTGTCTGCCACGGATCAAGCATCCTCCTTCAGTCAGGAGGGCCTGGTTCTCTTGCTGCTGCACTCTTGTGGCTTCCAGAACGAGGTAGTGGTGGTGGTCGTAGGCGCTCCCGTATGTTTGAAAGTCCAGCCGTCTTTGCATAAGGAACCAATTCTCTGAAGCCTCTTTTCTAATGGGACGCTTGAGCGTGGACACCACCGAGGCGCGGCTTGCTAACGTGAATCCGATCGGGGAAGGCGCACTTCCGTTCCACAGTTGGAGAAGGATGCAAGCCAGAGTGGGGGAAGGGAGAGATCGGTGGAGTCGGGGGAGGGACCATATCCGGGAGAGTGGCAGCTTCCGACCAGTGGTCGCGCTTCCGGAGAGGCGCTTCCGGCGGCGGCGGCAGCAGCGACTGTGGTGGTTCCGGGTGTCTTTGTCCCCCGGTGTCGCGGCCCTGGCCCGCAGGTAGGTTGGGGGTCCTCCTGCCCCCACTCTGCCTCTTCGCCATTCCTCTGGCCAAGAGGCCAAGAGGACCGGGTAGCGAAGATGCACTGGTCGCGGAAGGGGCCGAGTCCTCCACCGGACTGCAAGTCCCGTCTCCCTGGCAACGGCCTTGGCCCTGGGGGCGGGCGGGAGGAGGAGAAACCGCGCGCGCCTTCGTTCTTCCACAGTGGTTTCGCCGCTGCCCGGCCCGGAAGACCCGGCGCCGGCGGCTGGTGAGGCGAGAGCGGGGGGCCAGGTAGCGCGGGAGCAGAAGGGCGGGCGCGCAGCGGGATTCGCGTTCGGCCGGGCCAGACAGCTACCCTTCCTCTAGCTTGTCCCGGGAACGACGGACCGGGCTTCCGGGGCCCACACCGTTTCCTCTCCGGCACCAGCCTCCTCCATTTTCCTGGGCCCTGCCTTGGAGCAATTTTTTGAATGAATGTTTTTGAATGAGTGAATGTCACTGAGGCTCTTCCCAACTCTCCTCTACCCCCCCATCACTCCTGGGGTGGCGTGACATAGTGAGGGGGCACTAAGTTGTCCGGAGAGTTGGGTCTGAGTCCCAGTTTTGTTCCTAACTGGTTATCTGGCCTCAGGCGAGTCTCCCCCTTGAGCTTTAATTTCTTTCTCAGTCAAATAGAATGACAACATCACCCACCACTAGGTTATCAAGGGCAAACTGAACAATGTAATGTGTTACTTAACTTGCTGCTCCCCTTTGTATTTTCTCTACCGTCTCCATTCTCAGTACCCCACCCTTCTCGTTTTTCTTAAGATCTTTAGTTTTTTAAGATAGTCTAGTTTTCTGCGGTAGATGGAAATTTTCCTCATGAACTGATAACTTATTCATTTTCTGATTGAAGGTTTTTTCCCAAAACTCTGAAAAAGGACAGCATTCACAATGTCCCAGTTTAAGCGCCAGCGGATCAATCCGCTTCCAGGGGGACGCAACTTTTCAGGTGATTACCTTTATCCCTACTTGGCATCATACTCGGAAGCATGTGCTTTGGATTTAGTCTTTAAAAATATGATTTTTGGGGTCTCCCTGATGGAGAGCAATTTGCTGCTGATGTTTTGTAGGAAAATAGATCACTGCAGTGGTTGCCAGTGAAATCCTGTAGAGGAGTTGGTTGGGGTCAGTTTGCCGGGGCTTCACCATATCCTCTAGTTGGCTGTAGTGCTTAAAGTGGTAGATGCAGTTCCCAAAGATTGCTTTTCTGTCCCCATAGGCGCAGCTTCAACATCTCTTCTGGGACCTCCTCCTGGTTTGCTCACTCCTCCTGTGGCTACAGATCTGTCCCAAAATGCCAGGCACCTTCAGGTAGGTTGGGCATCCTTTCTAGTGAGCTTCAGCCCTTGAAACTATGTTGGCCAGTATGGGGGTGACCAGATATCCCTCAGATTGGGGAGTCTTAAGTTTTGGTTCTAGGGAAATCTTTAGGGTGCTTCTTGGAATTAAAGAAGAGCTGGAAATCCTAGAAGAAGCTTGTGACCCGAGAATCAGCTCAGTTTTTCTTCTCCCATAGATAATGTCCGCTATACACATAGGCTTCCTTCGTTGTGAATCTTGATGCCATACTTTGATTGATCTGGGTGGTAGATAGAGATAAAAAGATAGTGGCAGAGTATGTATTTGTCTGAGTTACTCCCTGTTACTTTGAAACTGCTCTCTTTTACAGGGTGGGGAGAAGCAGCGGGTCTTCACTGGAATTGTTACCAGTTTGCACGACTACTTTGGGGTGGTGGATGAAGAGGTTTTTTTTCAGCTAAGGTAGGCTTGAGGCTGGTCCACTACAGGCAAAGCTTTTTGGGTTCAATTCTGTCACCAAACTGGTGGGGACACCTCTAAAGCTGTTGCATTGCTCTTTTTATGCAAGATGTGAAAAATCTTGATGGGAAGGGCCTCCTGGGGGACAGTCAGGGTGTCTTTGGCCAGGGTCTCTCTCCTAATTGGGCCTCCTGGCTTGTGTGCTGGCAGTGTGGTGAAGGGGCGGCTGCCCCAGCTGGGTGAGAAGGTGCTGGTGAAGGCTGCATACAACCCAGGCCAGGCAGTGCCTTGGAATGCTGTCAAGGTGCAAACACTCTCCAACCAGGTATTCATCTCTATGGCATGTGCATTGGAAAGGGGAGGGAGGGAAGCATTTGTGCCCTGAAAGCTGGGCAAGAACCGTGCTTTTGTGGAGGGGGTGGGACTGTATTTTTCCAAACTAGTGAGCACATCAGTTCTGGGATCTCCTGAATTTCCTGGCTACTGTCTTGCAGCCCCTGCTGAAGTCGCCAGCACCTCCCCTTCTGCACGTGGCAGCCCTGGGCCAGAAGCAAGGCATCCTGGGAGCTCAGCCTCAGTTGATCTTCCAGCATCACCGAATTCCCCCTCTCTTTCCTCAGAAGCGTGAGTACCGTGGCATGGATGTTGAGGTGTGGTATTATGGGTCAGTGGACACGTAACTATTAGGTTACTGTTATCAGAATAGAAGTGGGTACTTCTGTGTGTTAGTAGAAAGGGAGAGAGAAGCTGGGAAGGTTTTTAGGGTTTTGGAGTCACTGGCCATTTCCTCTCTGCAGCTCTGAGTCTCTTCCAAACATCCCACACTCTTCACCTGAGCCACTTGAACAGATTTCCTGCTCGGGGTCCTCATGGAAGATTGGATCAGGGCCGAAGGTAAGTGGATCAGGCAGGAAAAATGTTTTATTTTTCTTTTGCCTCCAGGAGCAGTGTCCCTTTTTTTTGCTACCTCTTCACACTTAAGATTCTCTTTCTGCAGCTAGATTCTAGTCCGTTTGCCCTATAATGGGCAGACACATTAAGATGTATATCAAATATTGGAACTTTATACACTGACTCAGCAAGCAGGGATTTATTTCATCTTTTGAAATGTCATTTTGAGACACTTTTTAATATATAATCTCCCTTGTATTTCTAGTCTGTAAGAGCAATGCCAAGAATCAGGACTATCAAGAAAACACTAACATGTCAAAAAAGTAACCATTGTAGCATATGGTTTAATTTCTAGATTAAGATACATATATTTCTTTATATATACTTTATGAGTGTGGTGTTAGAATGTGTATGTTGCAGTTTGCCCAGAAATTTAGGCCTTGTGCCCTAGAAATGACAGTCTGATTTCTGGGCCATATGTGAAGTAAGCAGGGTTGATTTGGGACTTTTGGACATTCCTAGGTGATCCTGTATAATCTTTGAATGCTAGAACTACCAGGAGTGTGTTACCTGTTCTCTCTCTGGTTCATATGTTCCTTATTCTGTGTTACTCTCCCAAGTTTTCGCTTTTATCCATAGGAGTTAAGCTCTAAACTAGTTAAAGACTTTTTCTAGTTCTGTTTGTCTTCATTTTAACTATTAGGGAAAATTTCAAATACATGCAAAGTAAACAGAATGGTATGATGAACCTTATGTCCCCATCACCAGCTTCAGTGGTTATTATCAGCATTCTTCCATTCTTTTTCATCTGCATCTTCTACACCTCTACTCACTCCCTGCTCTCTACTTGATTTTTTTTGTTTTAAGATATAATGTATATAGATTGAAATGCACAAATCTTAACCACATAATTTTGATAAATGGGAAGTCCCACGCAACCCTCACCCTATTAAGATATAGAACATTTTTATCACTTCAGAAAGTTTCCTCATGTTGTAGTTCTCTTTTGATTTGTGAACTCTACCAAGAGGGAGACAGCCCCCATCCCAGATGCCAGTGGATTACATATTACATGGTAAGGGCTGAGAATGCAAACCAATGTAAACACTTAAAAGGAGCATGGAATAACTCAGGGAAAAAGTTTAGGCAAAAGTGATGTAGCCAGCCCTGCAGAAACTAGTGTTTGCTCCCTTGGGGTAGGTCATTGTGAATTCTAACTAGGGGGAAGCTTTGATTGTCTAGGATTATTTTCTGCCATGTTTCCACTACTTGAAACACTTTATCCTATTCTCAAGTCACTGGTATATATCTTGCATATTCCAACTCTTCCTTCCCTGGGCATCTTCCTGGTATTCAGTTTCCAAGGACTTCCCTCCTCTCACATTCTGTGAGTTTATTAAAGGCTTCATTACAAAATCACAGCAAGTAATGTAGTCTGTGTAAAATAATGTAGTCTGGGTGGGAGTCAATGACTGCTATTTACTTTCTGCTTTAGATTGAAATTCAGATTTTCTGTATAACAGACTGGAGCCCTAGTGGCGCAGTAGTTAAGAGCTTGGCTGCTAACCAAAAGGTCAGCAGTTCGAATCCACCAGCTGCTTCTTGGAAACCCTATGGGGCAGTTCTACTCTGTCTTGTAGGGTTGCTATGAGTCAGAATCGACTCGATGGCACATAACAGCAACATGTAATAGGTTGTACTTGGTTGTTGTGGACATGCCAGCCCTGTGCAGGGTCTGTTTTTATGACTTTGGCCGTAATCCTTCAGTGTCATAGCTTCTAGAGAAAGAAGATATTTCTTTTGGGAGGTGGGAAGTATCAGGTCAGTAGAGAGAATTTGTAGTAGGAAAAGAAGCAGTAGGAATTAGTCACTCAGGGTGGGGGACGACAATGTTAATTTATAAAGAAATTAGACATATTAGCATTTTGGTTAGAAACCAAGTTTATTAGTAATTTCGGGCTTCGGGATGTAGGCAATATGTCTCCATAGGACTGCTCATGAACACCTGAGGCTTTTAGACAGGTACACTCAGCTGGGCTGCTGCTGCTGCAGTTACTGAGATGTCTTCCACTGGTACTGCCTTTTACAACCTGCTCCTGACAACTCACAGTAATGAGAGAAAACCGTGGCCATGGAATCCACAGGATTCAGTGCAACATAGTGTTTGACTAGAGGTTTACTGCACTTATTGGAATGTTCACGCCAGTCACTGGGTGAGCTATATAGAGTTGTTGAAATGATCGTCGAACAGTTCTTCTGTTAGAACGTGGAAGTGCTGACATCCCATAAAGACAAGATAAGTAGGCAGCTTTAGTATGGAGATGCTAATAAATGGAAATTATCCAAGTAGATAAAAAAGAACAAAAACCTTCAGTTAAATACAATCAGCAGAGTTAGTCAGGGGTCTAAGGAACAGGGAAATGACAGGTAGGTCTAAAAGAATAAAAATCTGGTAAATCAACTCAGTTACCCAGCCATGAAGAATTGACAGTTGATTTCATTTCTCTCATGAGACATGGGGATTTTCTCTTGTCAACCTGTCATTTTTTAATTGTCTAAAGGTTTTTTCTCCTCTACTATTTTTATTTATTGTAGCCATAACATAGTAATACTATAATAAGTAATTTATGACAAAAATTTATAAAGTAGTATATGCTATTATATACAATTAAGATACCATAAAAATATATGAAAGAAAAAGTTTTCTTTTCCCTCCAGAGGTAACCATTATTAATATGTAGATTTTTAAAAAAAAATACGTAGGTATTCTTACAGACCTTTAGAAAATAATTTTGAAGAGAGAAATTACTGCCACTTCATTATTTTTCCTGTGTTCTCGTCTAGTCTTTCTCTGTACACATGCAGACCTTTTTTAATCTTAAGAGTTCACATTATTTATTTTTGTATATTCTTAGTAAACATTTTTCCATATTGCAGCATAATCCTTATCATTGTTTTAATGGCTGCATGACTACTGGGTTTATTTACTGTAGAAACTCGGGTATTGCTGGATATTTATGTGGTTTTCTTACTCAGCTTTTGCTGCCTAAATTCTTTCTACTATATATACTCTTATTTTCTTTTGAATTACTTAATTGGGATAAATTTTCAAGAAATCAAATTTTCAATTTTGATCCAGATTACTGGATCAAAGGGTTTGAGTATTTTTATGACTTTAATGTGTACTGCTGATTTGCTACCTGGAATTGTCTTTTAGTAAAACTCACATAGAACCCCTAGCACAGTACTGTATATGTGTGTCTTGTTTGCTTTTTTTTTTTAATTATTTTTTTCTCATTTCAAAAAACTACAGATAATTTAGAAAGTTCAAAAAAATATAAAGGAAAAATTATTCATAAGCTTATCAGCCAGAGTCACCCACCATTAACATTTTATTTCCTTTTGCTCTTTTAAAGTTGTTTGCATAGTTGAGGCCATCTTGTATATATAGTGTTGCCTACTATGCTTTTTGCTTAACACGTGAATGTTTTTATATCTTACTAAAAGCTTTTAAATATCCATTTTAATATCTTCATAACATTCTGTGGTATGGTTTTTAGCATGGTTTCTTTAACCATTTCTTTAATGTTGTGGATTCAGATTGTTTCCAGTTCTTTCTGTTATACCTCAGTATGTATTGAATACATATGTAACAGTGTAGTTTCTTATTCCTGGGTGATGGATCAACCTCCAGTGATGACTATGACTCCAAGAAACGTAAACAACGGGCTGGCGGAGAGCCTTGGGGTGCCAAGAAACCAAGGCATGACCTGCCTCCTTACCGGGTCCACCTCACTCCCTATACTGTGGACAGGTGAGTGACAAGGCTGAGGTGGGGGATGAGACTTGCAAATGGTAACAGTTTCTGGGGTAAATGAGATAGATTCTGTGCAAGCGCGCACGTGTGTTTTTATAGCCTTTTAAAAATACACAAATGGAAGCCTATTGTACATACTGGTTTGGTACTTTTCTTTTTTACCTATCTTAGAATTTACTCTTACTAACATTTATTAAATAGGGCCCTGGTGGTGCAGTAGTTCAGTGCTCAGCTGCTAACCAAAAGGTTGGCGGTGCGAATCCACCCAGCCCTCCACAGGAGAAAGACCTGGTGGTGATATGCTTCTGTAAAGATTACAGCCTAAAAAACCCTATGACGTAGTTCTGTTCTGTCATATGGGGTTGCTATGAGTTGAAATCGACTTGATGGCACCTAACAAAAACAATATTAGATTGATCTCATTCTTTTTAATAACTACACGGTATTCCAGTGAGTGGATTAACTATAATTTATTTAACCAGTTCTCCATTTTCAGTCTTTAATTATCATAAATATTGTGGCAGTAAACATCTGCCACATACATCAGGTATACAGGTGCAAGTATTTATTAGGATCAGCTTCTAGAAATGGAGTAGCTGGGTCAAAGGGTTTGATTTGAAACTTTGATACAGGGCTTTGAACCACTTCGTTTTGGTTCAAACCCCTGCTGAGAATATGCATTTTGAACAAGTTGGTGAAGAATATTTGAATATACCATGGACTGCCAGAAGAACAAAATCTGTCCTGGAAGAAGTACAGCCAGAATTAGAAGTGAGGATGGCGAGACTTCATCTCACATACTTTGGACATGTTGTCAGGAGGGACTAGTCCCTGGAGAAGGACATCATGCTTGGTAGAGTAGAGGGTCAGTGAAAAAGAGGAAGACCCTCAACAAGATGGACTGACACTGTGGCTGCAACAGTGGGCTCAAGTGTAACAGCAATTACGAGGATGGCGCAGGACCAGGCAGTGTTCGTTCTGTTGTACATGGTGTTGCTGAGTCAGAACCAACTCGAGGGCACCTAACAACAAAGAAGTTCCCAGGGATGCTAATGCTGCTGGTTAGGGACCAGTTCTGAGAACCACTAGTAGAGCAGTGGTTCTCAAAATGTATTGTACATAGGAATTACATGGGGATCTTGTTAAAATCTAGATTCTGATACAGTATACTTGGGGTGGAAATGCAGATTCTCAGCAGAGGTTCGAACAGGAATGAACCTGTTGGAAGGCTGGTTTCCCTGTGCTTTTGTCAATACTGTATTATCAAACTTTTTGATCTTTGGCAATCTGATTGGTGAAAAATGAGATTCTAATTTATATTTAATTATGAGATTGAGCATTTTTTCATGGGTTTCTATGTGTTACGTATTTTTCTGTTAAGTACTTGTTGATGTCATTTTTTTCCCAGTGTTCTCTTGGAGTGTTTTTCCTTTTTGTTTTGGTTACTGATTTGTGAGTTCTTTTTACATTAAGACAATGACTTCTTTCTCTGACATTTATTACAGTTTTTCTCCCAGTTTGACTTTATTTTGTCATACAGAGATTTAGAATTTTTGTGGTCAGATCTGATCCATCTTGTCCTTTCTTACATGGAAAATCTTTCTTTCCCAGGTTATAAAATAATTTGCCTATTTTTTTGAGTCTTTTATAGTTCCATTTTTAAATATTTTTAGTTTTAATCAATCTGGATTCCCTTGCTTTCTTTCTACAGCCCCATCTGTGACTTCTTAGAACTCCAGCGCCGTTACCGCAGCCTCCTGGTTCCCTCAGATTTTCTGGCTGTTCATCTGAGCTGGCTGTCAGCCTTCCCTCTGAGCCAGCCCTTTTCCCTCCACCATCCAAGCCGTATCCAGGTATCTTCTGAGAAGGAGCCAGCTCCAGACACTGGTGCTGAGCCTATCCCTTCAGACAGTGACCCCGGATATAGTTCCAAGGTAAGTTTCCTGGGGTTCTGTTGCTTTATCCCACCTATAGGGGTTGAAGATGGCTCCTGACTGTTTGCCTTCGTGCCTCCTCTGCACAGGTACTGTTGCTCTCTTCCCCTGGATTGGAGGAATTGTATCGTTGTTGTATGCTGTTTGTGGATGACATCGCTGAGCCGAGGGAGACGCCAGAACATCCTTTGAAGCAGATTAAGGTAAAGACTGCAGTCTAGGAGGCAAGATATTCATTGATAAAGTCCAGTCCTTATCAAGTTTTCAGCAGCTCAGCTGTCTTTCAGTAACTCATAGGAATAAGGCATTTCAGAGCTGAAATGCCCCGCATTTCACCCATGAGGAAAATGTGGCCCAGTGATGTTCTTAACTCGTCAGAAACTGTTACCTGACTAGTTAATGGCTAGCGAGTCCCCTGTGTGTGGGGCTCTTCAGCACATGATGCTGCCTTAACTCCTGATTAGTGGGAGACCCAAGTAATACGGCTTTTCATTTCTCATCCCTGATCTGTTTTTGCAGTTTTTGCTGGGCCGGAAAGATGAAGAGGCAGTGCTGGTTGGGGGCGAGTGGTCTCCTTCCTTGGATGGCCTTGACCCCAAGGCTGACCCGCAGGTGCTAGTCCGCACCGCGATCCGGTGTGCACAGGTTCAGACTGGCATTGACTTGAGCAGCTGCACAAAGTGGTGAGTGGGCTTCCTCGAGCTCTTGTCTGTGACCAGCTCGTTGAGTTGGTGAGACTTACTCATAAGGCCAAGCTTCTGCTTCTTTTTGACCATTAGCTGTTTCCTAGTCACAGTTCATCCTTCCCTCCACCTTTCTAGCTGCCTCCCAAATGGTAGCCTTGGCCATGAGCATGACTAGGTATTTGTGTGTTGAAGGCCAGCTCATCTGACTCGTCAGGCGTGATCCCCCAGCCGTGTTCAGCACTCCTTGTTGCCTTAGCACCTTGTGTAATAATTGTCTGCTTGCTTATGTTTCACCATTGACTAAACATTTCATGAGGACTTGGTCTATATCTTTTATTTTTGTACTTTGAAAGCTTGGCACCCAGTATGTGCTCACTAAATGTTGACTGGAAACTAAAGCAATTGTTTGTGAATGTGGTGTCTGTATGGGTGTGTCATGGGTTAGCTCTTCATTGTCTCTTTTGCTGTGAGCAGGTGGCGCTTTGCTGAGTTTCAGTACCTGCAGCCGGGACCCCCAAGGCGGCTCCAGACAGTGGTGGTGTACCTGCCGGATGTCTGGACCATTATGCCTACTTTGGAAGAGTGGGAGGCCCTGTGCCAGCAGAAAGCTGCAGAGGCAGCTCTCCCACCGCAGGAGTCACCAGTGGTAAGGCTGAGCCTTCTGACGAAAGAGGGGAAGTAGGTGCCTGACCCCTGGGCCCAGGTCGTTAGAACTCCTTGCTTTTGTTATAGGAAACAGAGTCTTCTGAACAGGCGGCAGATGCATCGGAGCAAGCAGCAGACACCTCTAAACAAAATGCAGAGAATCCGGAGGTCACCGCGCAGCAGGAAATGGACACAGATCTCCCAGAGGCCCCTCCACCTCCTCTAGAACCTGCTGTCATTGCACGCTCTGACTGTATAAACCTCTCTCTCCATGGTATTGTGGAGGATCGGAGGCCAAAAGAAAGAATCTCTTTTGAGGTAGGTTTAGAATCTTGGGGAGGTTGTGGGGTAGGATGGTAGAATAATCCTTTTTTTCCTGATGCTCATGGCTCCCTTCTTGCTGCTGCTTCTAATAGGTGATGGTGTTGGCTGAGCTATTTCTGGAGATGCTGCAGAGGGATTTTGGCTATAGGATTTATAAGATGCTGCTGAGCCTTCCTGAAAAGGTAGTGACTCCACCTGAACCTGAGAAGGAGGAGCCAGCCAAGGAGGAAGCAGTTAAGGAGGAAGAAGTGGTCAAAGAGGAGGTGGCCAAGGAGTCGAAGGATGAGGTACAGAATGAGGGAGCAGCTGCTGAGTCAGACACCCCACTGGTGAGCACCTTTGTCACTGTTGGACTGATATTGGGACTAAAATAATGATGCTTGCCATAATTTGACTGCTTATTTTATACCAGGCACTGTTCTAAGCAGTTTACATGGCTTAGTTACTCGTCAGAACCCTAGGAGGTAGGTTCTAAGGCACTGAGAGGTTAGATATCTTGCACATGACCACCCAGCTAGCAAATGGTACACCTAGGGTAAGAGAAGCCAGGCTGACAAGCTATGGCGGCACAAAGGTTCCAGTTAATGAGAATGCTTTGAGATTAGAGGTGTTTTGATTACCTGATGGCTAAGTAGAAAAATGCATTTTATTAACCCTTTTCTTTTTAAAACATATGGGTCTAGTTTTTGCCTAAGTACTATCTAGTAAGCATAAATTTATTATCACACTGAGATTGACTCGTGAGGAAAACCCCAGGTATCTGGAAATCCCCCACGTGTGCTGTGGATCCTGTGTAATTAAATACACTAAATGAGACTGGGCATACAGAGCCTTTAACAGTGCCTGGAACATAGTTAATATCAAGATGGTAGCCACTATTATTGTTAGTAATTACAGTTAACAATTCCTTCTCCAAGATGGTAGCCATTATTATTGTAATTACAGTTAACAATTCCTTCTCTCCTTCATCTTGGTCTGCCCCCTCTAGAAGGAGGATGGACTTTTGCCCAAACCCCCATCTTCTGGGGGAGAGGAAGAAGAGAAGCCCCGGGGTGAGGCATCTGAGGACCTTTGTGAGATGGCTCTGGACCCAGAACTGCTGCTTCTGAGGGATGATGGAGAAGAGGAATTTGGTACGTCCAGTGGTGTGAGAGGGATGGTAGCTCTCTGGGTCTGTAGCTGTAACAGTTTTCCTCTTGTGACTGTAGATCGAGTTTGGGCCAGGTGTGGCCTCTGTTGCATGTTTATCTCAGGCTTTCTGTAGCAGGAGCAAAGCTGGAGGATTCGGAGGTACGGTCCGTTGCCTCAAACCAGTCAGAGATGGAATTCTCTTCACTTCAGGACATGGTGAGACCTCTTTTCTACCTCTCTGGGTCTTGCTGATAGTGAAGCTTACCAAGGCCTCTGACTCATTGCTGGGAGAGGGGTGCTGAGCATTGCATGAGCCTGTGTGTTTACCACGTGACTTCTGGCATCTTGGAGGCAGCACAAGATTTCTCTTGATTGACGGAAGACAAAATGTGTTTCCTGGCTCACAGAATGGCACTTCATAGGATCCAGGAGACCATTTCAGTATCTCCATCAGTATCTGACTGAGGAGCATGCTAGGTTCTTATGCATGTGACAGCCCCTGGGGCTTTTGTGAAAGTGCCCCAAATAGGCCTTTGACTATAGGCCTGGTGACCCAGCCTGGCTCAGTGTCTCCAACTGGAAGACCTGCTTGGGTGTGATTAAGTCACCCAAGCCATTCAGTTTAGAAGGGCTGTGTCCTGGGTGATTTAGCCACTGAGACAGCTGTTTGTAAACTGTCTGTACATCCTTGTTTCTCTTGGCAGCCCAAGGAGCTGGATCCCTCTGCTGTGCTCCCCTTGGATTGTCTCCTTGCTTTTGTGTTCTTTGATGCCAACTGGTGTGGCTACTTGCACCGGAGAGACTTGGAGAGGATTCTACTTACCCTTGGGCTACGGCTTAGTGCAGAGCAGGTACCTGTCACTTCCACCACCAGTCCTTTCTGAAATGGCCTCACCTAACATAAATACGTACAGGCATGCATTTAACTCATTTGGGTGAACCATGATACTTTAGTTCCAGGGTCGTGCATATCACCGGAGCAAGGGCTTCGACTTTTTGATCAGTGGTATCTTGGCTGTGTGTTTGCTATAGGCCAAGCAGCTGGTCAGCAGGGTGGTGACCCAGAACATCTGCCAGTACCGGAGCCTTCAGTATAGCCGCCAGGAGGGCATGGATGGCGGACTTCCTGAGGAGGTGCTCTGTGGTATGTACTGGTACTCTGTGGCCTTTGGTGGAGAATGGGCAGGGCAGGCTTCTTTTTCTTCCTGAGACCCTTTCCTTAATCTTTTTCACGGCCCCTTTTAGGAAACCTTGATCTGCTACCTCCTCCTGGGAAAAGCGCAAAGCCAAGTGCTGCCCCCATGGAACACAAGGGCCTGGTGTCCCACAATGGCAGCCTAATCAATGTGGGGAACCTGCTGCAGCGTGCAGAGCAGCAGGACAGTGGACGGCTCTACCTGGAGAACAAGATTCACACACTGGAACTGAAGCTGGGTGAGGGGCCTTGTCACGGGATGGGATCTACTGAGACTAAGCGAGAGGCAGACCCCACTCTAAGCTTAGACTTCCATCCTCTTGCCCTATGCTTCGGTCCTTGTCTGAACAGCTGTCTTTTTGGTATTATTATTATTTTTTCCTATCCCCAGAGGAGAGCCATAACCGATTCTCAGCCACTGAAGTGACAAATAAGACACTGGCGGCAGAAATGCAGGAGTTGCGAAATCGGTTGGCTGAGGCTGAGGAGACAGCCCGGACAGCTGAACGACAGAAGAACCAGCTTCAGCGGCTGCTACAGGACTTCCGAAGGCGCCTGACCCCTCTGCAGCTTGAGATGCAGCGAATGGTTGAAAAGGTGAGGTGAGGGTAAGAGCTAGGAGGGAACTGCAGTTCCTTTGGGTGGGGCTCCAAAAGCCCCCCGCTGTTCTTGAGGAGAACTAGCTGTCATTTCAAGAGAGTTGATTAGAGGAGAGTCAGTATGTCAGCCCTTCCCCTTGCCCAAGCGTACCTTGCTTTCTTCCTCCATTTACTGGTTTCTTGGGGAATTAGTCACCAGCTTGCAACTTAGTCTCCCAGATGGAAGTATTCAGTAGTTGTCAAATCTTGTGCCCTTCTTTCTTGGGAGTTCTAATGGTCTTTACATCTGTTTCAGGCCGACAGCTGGGTAGAGAAGGAGGAGCCAGCACCTACCAACTGAGGGGCTTTGCACAGGAACTGCCATCCTGTGAGGTCAGCGATGGAGTCTGCGGAAGTTAGAGCCCTTTTGGTACCAGAAAGCAGCTGGAGCAGGACCTAGGAGCCATAGGCAGGGGAGGCTAACCCCTGTGCTCAGCCTCTGTAGGGGAGGTCAAGCTGTCAGGGTGGGGTCTATCTGTGCTGTGAGACAGATAAGTGAGGAACCCCAGTTCCAGTTACTACTAAATACAACATCTTTTACACCCCTAGAATGTCATTTTGCCCTCTACCTTGGAATTCTTCTGGGGCCCTTTTAGTCTTGTGCTGACTTTCTCCTGTCCTCTTCCAATTTAGAATAAGACAGGGGAGGAAAAAGGCTTTTCGAGTACATGACAAGGTCTAACACCAGTAAACTGAAGACACAGACAGGGAGTCTGGCTGGGGTTAAGAAGAACCCCATAACCTGGATGGCACAAATCCTGCTAGGCTACAGGAGCAGGTTCTTGGGGAGGGCCTAACTTGGTCACCACTGGAACGGAGTCAGTGCTAGAAAGGTCTCAGTGTTGGGCTGTGTTTCTGTATAGAACACTGTGTTCCAGCCACCCCAGACTTGCCGGAAGAAACCAGCACCTCTTTCCCCCTTGGTTCCCCATGTTCAGAATGTGGTATTGGCTCTGGCCCAGCCTTTCTCCCTGTTACCCACCCATAATTCTCGCCTCTTTCCATAATCCGTGGTTTCAGTTTGACTTTGTATATGAAGTTTTTTTTTTTTTTTTTTTTTTTTTGGCTTTTTGTTTTTTAAATAAACCAAAGTCAAAAAACAAACCAGGTGTCTACCATAGCTCTTCTATTCCTCTCATAGGTTTGCCTGTACTCCCTTCCTTTATTCCTGGCTCTTATCCCAATCCATGGTACAGGTGTCTCCAGAAGGTGGGGCAGGGCAGTGAGAAGTAAGAGCCTTTGCATTCTGGGCTCTCAGCTGCCTGTGGATGGAGGAGAGTGTGTGCTGTAGCTACCTTGCCAGATCAGCAGGGGGCAGCATAATCCTGAAGACAATCTTTGATGGCTTTCTCTTAGTTATAACACAATAACAAATGGACATTTTATTGAAAACTGTACTTGAAAAAATAGAATTCCAAATTTCAGATGAGACACAAACCCACTGTTCTTTGAGGCCTGTGAATTATGTGTGTCATTTAGTATGGTATAACAGTTACATAGGTTGAGTCCCAGTTACCCAGGGAACCTGACAGACTTGGGGCTCTTCCCCACACCTTACTAAGGAATAGAAATGGGCAGAATTAGCCTCGGTCACGCTTGGAAGCTTGGGTGAGGGGCCTCTGTCATGGCTTGGGGGACCACAGCGCTCATGTTCCCCAAGGCAGTGTCACAGGCCCCTTCCATAAAAGTCTTCAAAGTGAAAAGGCAGAGGGGGTTCGGGGGGCTCCCCGGAATGGGTCTCTTTGGAGGTAGATGTGATTCCAGCCACGCACACAAGGCTAAGACCCTCAGCTAAGTTGACGAGATCCATGCCTTCAAAGGGCTGAAGTTGGCTGGGGCCCTAGGCCTGGGTGCTGTACTTTGGATGGTTCTTTTGGAAATAAAAAAGGCCCCTGGGGTTTTTCTACACTGCTTACCTTGTGTCTGTGGCTGCTTCCTATTGAGTAGGGAGACAGCAGCCTGGTTGGGGCTCCTGGGGCTGGTGACGGGCTCAAGAGACTGAAGACTCATTTCAAAGGGCTGGTGAGGTAGTACAGGAGCCACCTCTATCCCCAACCTGCTGGTTGCCATACTTCTCCCAGAAGAGGGCCTTCTGCCAGGCTGATGAGTGGGAGGAGCACGAGCCTAAGCTAAAAAAAGGGGACTTGTGTCCCAGCAGTCTTTGGAGGAAGATGGGAATTCAGTCATCAGCCACAATAGAGAGGGCTCTGAGCTCACTTAGTCTGGCCTCATTCTCTCGCTCCTGCTGCTCATCGCTGTGGCCTGGCTGGTCAAGCTGCTGAGTCAGGTCTCCAAAGATCTTATGCATTTCTGAGTAGTACACAACCTGGTAGGAGACAAGAGGAGGTCAACAAGTGCTGGGCTCCCTGGGTACCAACCCCCAAAGCACCCCTTGGGCACAGCACTGCAGGTGGGAAAGCAGGGCCAGAGAACCAGGGTCATGAGGCCCTCACCCTTGTGTTCACTCCTGTGGCTCTGAGAGGGCTAGTTTCCACCTTCCCCCCACTACCTCTCCCCTTCACCCCATTTCTGTAAACTGCATGGGAACATGGGAAGGAGTGAAGCCACAGCCCCAAGCCCTTCAGGAACGTCCACTACAGGAAAAGGCTCCAGTCTAGTTCCCAGGGTAGCAGTCTGTCAAAAGGGAGGAAAGGAATATGGGTTCTCGTTGAGGTGCAGGCTGCCCCTCACCGCTCCTGGTTCTAGCTGAGCAGCAGTGTTGATGTGTAAGGAGATGGACTTGTGCACTTGGGACGGGGTAGGTGGAGGGTGGGAGAAGGACAAAGCACAACCCAAGGCTAGGACTGCAGAGAGTGGGAGCAACTCCTTAGCTTGGTTCTGGGAAGGCAAAGGAGAGACAGACACTGTGCTAGGAGTTTGCTGCTTTATGACCTAGGACAGAAGCGCAAGGCTTTTATCCATAGGAGAAAGAGGAAATGGTAGGCTTGTGGCTCCCAAAGCCTTGAGAGTCAGTCTTAGAAGTAAAGTTGAGAAAGATGACACCTTTCTAGTCTTCTGTTCCTTCCCAACTGACATCCCACCATTACTCACTGCCCAGCTGTATTACCAGGAAAGCAAGGCTTAAAGAGGCCAGGCTCACTTCTATGTTTCCTTTTATGTAGGTGCAGCAATGGGATGGGGGATGAACACAGGAATGAGGCCAGGGGCACGCAGAGGAATGGGCAATACCCATCAGCAACCTCTCAGGTAGCCGAGGGCTGCTTAGATCCAGGGTCTGAGGAGGCCCAGGATCTGGGGCTTTTCCAGGAGAGGACAGAAGGCATTTCTGCCTCAGTCTCTACCTCCCGCTTTCAAGTGAAAGCATGTACTTCATGAAAGTGGTCCACACTATTCCAACAGTCCTAATTTTAGCATCTCCAGCTCCAAGTTGTCTTCTTTAGAAGGCTGGAAAGCCCTCACTCCTAAGGCAAGGCCAAACAGCAGAGTTTAGTGGCAGTGGCCCTGCCTGGATGGCAGGGGCCTGTGGTTGAGCTGTTTCTAAGGAAATCTCTCCCCCTGACTCCCATAGCCAGGTGTCTAGTGGGCTGAGGGGAACTAAACTGAGAAGGTCTCAACCTACTGCTGTCACCTCAGGGGATGGGGGCTTGGGGGCAAGCCCAGACTAGCGCTGGGGAGAGGGATGGTCCACCTGCCCACCCCCCGACAAGCCGCACTGCACCGCTGGGTGAGTCACTAGGAATGCTCACTTCTCCAGTGACTAATGGCAGTGGCAGCCGGGTGAGGAGGAGGCTGGTGCTGAGGAGGCAGTAAACAGCCCCTGCTCCCACACTGCTTGGTTACAGGGCATCCCTGTCCCCCTACTCTCCAACCTAAGTACGCCTAAGCCTGGGCACCCTGGCGCTTCCCCTGTGAGCAACATTGATGGAGGAGGCGGGCAGCATACGGGTTTCTGGAGGGGCTAGAAGTAGGGATGGTGACGGCGAAGGGCAGGGAAAGCATAGGTTTCCCTCTTAGACACATTCCTCCATGGTCAGAGGGGGGAAGCTGCTGGGGAGGAACTCGGGGGACACCTCACCTCCAAGGACAATGCTCTGGGTGCAAGTGTGGGGATTCCCTGACTGCCTCCTGCTGGTGAAGGTTGTGTGCGACACGCACGCGCACACACACACGCACACGCACACACACACACGCACGCACACACACGTCAGCTCGTTTCATTTTTCCCTAGACACAATGCAGGACACAATGCAGGATGACCAAGGACAGGGGTCTCCAACAAGTCCCAGCTACAACATAACTCCTGCTTCTGGGTTGCTGGTACCAGGGATCGGGCCCTGTGGATTTTGGTGCTCTCCAAAGATGGCAGGTTGGGAGGTGGGAAATCAGGCTATTCCTTGGGCCCCTGAGATTGTGGAACTGCAAAGAATGACAAGGCCCACTGGAGGGAGCCAGATACCCAGGCCAAAACCAGAAATGGGATGAGGTAGGTGGTGACATGATCGGTCTTTAGCTTTGTTACCTGGTGGTGAGTTCCACCACCTGGGTAGGAGAGGTGGCAGGGTCCTCGGGCTGACGCTGAGCACGTTCAATCAGCTGGAGGTCCCACCTGGAAAGACCTTCTCTTGGCTTTGACACCCTAGCCTTTTCTCTTTTATAAATGGAGAGAATAATCAAGTTCTGAAGGTTTGAAAAAGAATGGGGGCCAGGAGAGTAGGAGCTACACATGATCACACATTCTTGAGAAACAGGAGACACAGGGTCCTGACCTGTATCCAACTCTCCAGATGGAAAAGGGGCTGTCCTAACGCACCAGCCGAGCAACCCCGCCAGCACCAGGCCCGCAGCCCATGCTGCCTTTCCACTGGAGGTGCACCACGGCCCTGAAGGTGAAGGCAGCCCTGAGCTGGGTCCCAGGCAAGGCTAAGCTGCCTCTCCTCAGGGCTCAGTGAGCCTTCCATCGGTAGCTAAAAGTCAAGACTCTTCGTGGTCTCCTGTCAAATGAAGACTAACTAGGGTTGGGAGGGGAGGGGTGCTGGATCCTCAGAAAATGGCTCAGCCACCTTCACCCTACAGGCTTCTAGATCCCTGATCTCCGCCTGAGCACACTGGGCACCTGCCTATCAACAGGGAGAGGCTGGAGGTGCTGCCTGATTCCTTCCTGCTGCTCACAGTAAATGTGAGAGGAGAGAGAGAGACTGAGGGAAGAACTGATCAACAAAAAGGGAACCCTGTCCATCCTAGGGCTGGGCTTAACCAGAAAGCAATGTAGGAACCAAATCAGAAATTCCAGGAAAAAATTAGAATCCCCAAGTCTCCAGAGCCCCTCAGATTCTAGGACTGAAATGAATTTCCTTACTGGGGGGCATGCAGGGTAGGGTATGGTGGTGATGCTGTCTTTCTAGAGAATGGCTAAGCTATCCTTCCAGCATGGGAGTAGGGGTTGGCATGAGATGTTGTCTACAAAGCCCTTGACCTATTTCCCAAGGGAAAAACTGCTGGGCCATCAGGCAGGGTGGCAAGTCGCCTCACCTGGGCTCGGATCAGGGACTCAAAACTGGGCTGGAAGTAGTTGAGTCGGCTGTTGTAGAACCGCGGCATCTCATCCAGGAGCTGCTTGTTTTTGGCTTCAAAGTCATCCCGCACAGGCCGAAGCTCTTCCCGGGCCTAGGGAGGAAAACGCTGGATGGCAAAACTCTCATTGGCTTATTCAGAATCCCTGCTGTGTGCACAGTGTTTGTGAGAGGGAAGGGGGGTGGGTATTAGGACATATGGTATCTTGGTCCCACAGCTCCAGAAAGTAGGTGCCCAGGTGAAGGGATGAACTTACCACATATGACCACAATCGCCCCCCATCCCCTTCCCTTCTGCCTCCCTTCACCCACCCTCCCCTGCTCCCTTCTCCCTTGGTACCTGGTGGAGTTTGGCCAGCACTGGCCCTGTCTTCTCCTTTTCCTCGTACTTCTCCACCTTGGCCTGCAATCTCCTATAGTCCTGCAAGGCCTGTTCCCGCCGTTTCACTGCCATGTTGAGGCTTGGGAAGACACTTCCAAACCTGCCAGACACAGAGTGGTTGGATATAGGCCTAGTCCCTGGAGGGGCAAGCTGGCAGCTCATCATTCATTCAAAATAAATTAGGTACCTACTAAGTGCTAGACTCTTAAGTTTTGGGGATTCAGCCGTAAACAAGACAGATGAGGCCCTGGCCCTTAACGAGCTTATGCTACTGAGAATGTAGTCCTGGGATAAGGTCAAGGGAAAAAAGATGGCACTCTACTGGACCTGTGTAACATATGATGGGAAATGAATCAACGGTGCCATTTACACTGCCCACTGTTCCTTACCCACCCACCTCATAGAGCCTCACACCCCAGGTGAGTACGGCCAGACCTGTAATAGAGGACATTAAGTTGGAAGACACCTTGGGAGCCATCTGTCCAACATCTCCATTTTAAAAAAATGAAAGAAACTGAGGCCAGAGAGATTACATGACTTTCTCAAGGTCACAATTATATAGTAACAGTCCAGAAGGAACTCAGATGTCCCAGTTCTCTGTCTGGTACCCTTCCCACCACCCCATGATGTTGCCAGCCGGTGACAGAACTGAAATCAGAACCCACTCCCGGCCAAGGGATCCTTTCACCACTTGACATGGGAAAAGCAAGACTCCCATGGGTCTACCACTGAAAAGGCCACACCATCAAACCAGATCTTTTAGGAAAATGATTCAAGGGCCTTCTCTACCCAACTACAACTAAAAAAGATCACAAAGGGGAAATTCTCTAAGGAATGGGCCAATCAGAAAGAACAACAGATGCTTCCGCATTTTTGGCCTCCCTGGGCATAATCATTGTGACTGTCATCTTTAACTTTGGAGGGCAATGACATCTCGAAATGGGTACAGGGCAGGATTGCATCTTATGGACCCAGAGTGTTGGTGAAAACAAGGAAAGCCTGCAAACAGGCTTTCTGGAAGGACAGGAGAAGATGGGCAGCTTCCTTGAAGATGAAGCCGGAAGTGCAGAAGGTGGCTCTCAGAACTGCTGAAGGGCTTAGCCTATGGTTCAGCGGCAGGATGAGACTACATGCAAGCTGGGAGTCAGTCAAGAGCAATTACCATAGATCTGGCCATTGTCAACTGAGGGAACTGTGGACTCAGTGATTATTCAGAAGCCTGGAATTGGTGATCTAGGACAAGACTTAGTCCTCCTAGAACGATTTATGAGCAACTCTGATTAAGATGAAAGACAAGAGGCAGGACCAAGAGTTGAGGCTGGGGCTCACCTCACTGGGACACAAACCAGTTGCTGATCTCAACCTTTAACAAGCATTCTGGTCCATAAGCCCATGGGTCGTTTTCAGGTAGTTCAGGAATGACCTCGCAAATTTGTCTTTCAAAGGAACATCACCACATATTTGGTTTTTAAAAGCCTCAACAAATCCAGGGTACATGTGAGACAAGAGTAATGAATATTTTTGCCAGAGAAAAGAGGATATAAACTTGACCAAAGCATTAAACTAACCCCCAAGCTAAGCTATTGACCCAGAGAGCAGATTTTTTTTCCCACTGTACTTCAGATGAAGGTTTACAGAACAGATAGTTTCTCATTAAATAGTTAGTACACATATTGTTTTATGACAATGGTTAACAACCCCACGACATGTCAACACTCTCCCTTCTTGACCTTGGGTTCCCTATTACCAGCTTTCCTATCCCCTTCCTGCCTTCTAGTCCTTGTCCCTGGACTTTGTGCCCCATCAGTTTCATTTTGTCCTACGGGGCTGTCTAATCTTTGGCTGGTGAACCTCGGGAGTGACTTCATTACTGAGCTAAAAGGGTGTCTGAGGGCCATACTCTCGGGGTTTCTCCAGTCTCTGTCAGGCCAGTAAATCTGGTCGTTTTTTTGTGTGTGTGTTAGAATTTTGTTCTACATCCTTCTCCAGCTCTGTCCAGGACCCTCTGTTGTGGTCCCAGTCAGAGCAGTCAGTGGTGGTAGCCAGGCACCATCTAGCTGTACTGGATGCAGTCTGGTGGAGGCCTTGGTAGCTGTGGTTCATTAGTACTTTGGACTAATTATTTCCTTGTATCCTGTCGTCTTCATTCTAGAATGGAACAAAGGGCTTATCCTTGATAAAGACACAAAGAATTCTTCTAGTTCAGTAAGTGTCCACAACGAGCTCACTACCTAACTGGAAATGCTAGAAAAGTGGGTAAAACCACTGAAATGTCTGTAAAGCCTCAGCCACAGGCCTCTATACAGAGTAATTAAAGTCAATATTTGGCTGACGGATTTGACCAGGCAGAAGATGTAGGCTTAGTCAGTGCTACATAAACTGGAAGTGGGAACCAGACACCTCAAGGACAAAAGGTCACCTATGGACCGAGTATGAATGATGCCATTGGGAGAGCTGGCCTCATTGCTTTTGCCTAAGGCAGTTGCTATGATGGAGTCTCAGTTGCTAGGGGAGCTCCTCTCCCTTCCTGGGAGGAGTGTGACTGGCAGCTAAGCAGGCATGTGGCTCAAGGGAGCAGGTGCAGTTGGGCCTGAGAAGCAACCACAGCCGCCTCCCCCTCCACCCAGCTGGACAAGGGCTACCAGCAACCATCCAGATTCTCTTGCTAGATGCTTCTTTTGCTTCTTGGGCTTCCACTTCCACCTTGCTGGTTGCTTGGGAGATGCTGGGCGAGTACAGGCAGAGACAAGGCAAGAATGAAAAATAGGGAGGAAGTAGCAGGTGGAGAGTCTTCTTTGCTACAAACTCATCATTTCAAACTTATATTCTCAGGAAAGATGGCGTCACAACAAATGAAATAATGTGTGTGAGATGCTCTGAAGTGTAAGCAGCATTCTAGAGGTGCAAGATGGGATTATTATGCTAGTGGTCATGCAGCCCTTCAACACAGGAGATGATATCCTCTGACCCCAGTAGCACTTGTACCTTAACTCATCCTCATAACCTCTTTCCCTAATTTGTCAGTTGAGGTTTATGTCCAAGAGACAGAGTCAGATACACCAGGGTTACAGATTACTACACAATCTGAGGTAGCTTCAGGTGATGGATGGGGTAAAAGTGGTTGTGTCCACATGACACTGCCTATCATCACAGGGCTCCTTCCTACTCTTCAGCTTTCTGGAACCAAGGCCACCTGTACTCTAGGGGAGGAAGGGGCTATGGTGGAAACTGGTAACAGTTTGCTCTGTTAGAGTCACCTGACACCCCCCCCCGGCCGGAAAACAATTTCTTCACCATGATAACTTCTGCCTCCCACAAGAGCACCCCTCAGTCAACCCAGGATGCCATGGGAAGGCTCAGCTGGCTTGGCTCACTGGAGACAAGTTACTAACAAATTTCCACTTGGGTGGCTTTGTATCCTGGACTTTGGTATCTCCTCGGGGTAAGGGATCAAGCCTATTGCCTTCAGTATGGATTATGCCTCAACATAAAGAAAACAAAAATCCTCACAACTGTACCAATAAGCAACATCATGATAAATGGAGAAAAGATTGAAGCTGTCAAGGATTTTATTTTACTTGGATCCACAATCAACGCCCATGGAAGCAGCAGTCAAGAAATCAAATGACGCAATGCACTGGCCAAATCTGCTGCAAAAGACCTCCTTAAAGTGTTAAAAAGCACAGATGTCACTTTGAGGACTAAGGTGCGCCTGACTCAAGCCATGGTATTTTCAATCACCTTATGTGCATGGGAAAGCTGGACAATGATTAAGGAAGACCAAAGAAGAACTGATGCCTTTGAATTCTGGTGCTGGTGAAGAATACTGAATATACCATGGACTGCCAGAAGAACAAACAAATCTGTCTTGGAAGAAGTACAGCCAGAATACTCCTTAGAAGCAAGGATGGTGAGACTTCGTCTCACTTTGGATATGTTATCAGGAGAGATCAGTCCCTGGAGAAGGACATCATGCTTGGTAAAGTAGAGGGTCAGTGAAAAAGAGGAAGACCCTGAAGGAGATGGGACTGACACAGTGGCTGCAACAATGGGCTCAAGCATATCAAGGATTGTGAGGATGGCGCAGGACTGGGCAGTGTTTTGTTCTGTTGCACACGGGGTTGCCATGAGTTGGAACCGACTCAATGGCACTTAACAACAACAACAACAACAGGGGCAGGGGCAGGTTTCACTCATCTTACACTAAAGGGAGGCAAACTAAGACAGGGCTGAGGCAGGGGCACAGCTTATCTGGGGGTGGCTAATGAGAGCGGTGGGACGAGGGCTTTGTAGATCCCTGGCTTCCACCTCCCCATTTTCTACTCATAAGCAACGGAACAGACTTTCCCAGCTCCAAGTGGCAGGCAGTGGAAATAACCACGGTGTTGCGCAAGGAGCTCCTCTGACAGCAGGAAACACTTCCCCTGTCCCCCTCAGATTTGGAGTGTTTTCCTCCACCTTCAGAACAGGGGTTTGGGTGCCAGCAGGGGAGGAAAATCAGCAGGGATGCTGAAGACAAGCATAGGCTGGTCCCCAGTGCCAGGGCCTCTCCCAGACATGCCCCTGGAACTCCACCGAGGTACCTGCTGACTCCCATCTAATAAGGAGAAGGATGGAGAGGGTGGGGACCCAGTTCTGAGGTATGGAGCCCACACTTTTATCTGCCATAAAGAAACAAGGCTGAGATTCAGACCCTCTGAGCCCAGCACCCCCCTCCCCCATAGATATTTGGTAGTGAGATGGAACAAGAGAGTCCCCGGTCAGAACTCCAGGATACACTGCTCTCCAGCTCACATCGCACCACCTCCCTGCAGAACCTTGCTCCCCCTGCTCCTAAGCATCAACTACATCATCCGGAAAACTCCACTCATGTCTTTCTTCCTGCAGATGAGGAACCAGGCTCGGAGGAGCAGTGACTCGCCTGAGGTAAGGCTAGCTGGAGCAGGCTGCAGCTGCTGGTCCAGCACTTCCCCACACTGCCACACTGCTCCATGGCTGGCAGTTACTACACCTGGCTCCTCTTTCTTGAGAACAGTCATGGCTTCCCCACTAGGCCATCAGCTCTTAAAGTCCCACTACCTTTATCTTGGATTCCTCACAGGAGGGAGGACAGGGCGAGGCCCACGTTAGGCCTCACTGAAGCTCTGCTAATGATGACTGCCCAATTCTTGCCTGTCCTAAGGTTTGATATCAAGTTATTTTCCCTGGGTAAGCGTGGGGTGAAGAGGGAGAGAGAGGGAGAAGGGAAAGGGAGGGAGAGAGGCCGGCTGGGAGGTGGGCTGGGAGCAGCCGGCCTGGTGGGGAATGCCTGCCATTCCTCAATCTGTGCCCACATAGCCGGGATCTTCCACCCACCAGGAAAGGGAAATTGAAAGCATCCCCATCCCACCATGTGAGCGCAGGCCCAGAGATGGGGGGGGGATTAGAGGCCGAGCCCCCTGGGGGGAGGCTTGGGGGCAGCTGGGTAGCCATGTGGAGATGATCTTCATTAGAGGGCAGGAAAGCTGCAGTTTCCTGTTTCCGGTGCTAGGGTCTCTGGGAGCCTCTCTCCTGGCAAGAGGAAGCAAATGGGGAGGAGGCAACAGGCAGTGCCGGGTGTCTGTGGTTGAGGGGATCGCAAGTCAGGGATGGGGATGCAGGGTGGTGGCCTGGCAGGCCTGAGTATGAGGGGCTCATGCAGAGGTCAGCGGATCTGCTCTGGGAAATGGCCCGCCCCCTCTGCCACTCACCCACCTTCCTGGCAGGTGGTGGGCTCCCATGGTGGTGGGAAGCAGCAGGGGTTTCTCTCCATTTGGCTCTAGCTCCAGAAGCCAGGGATCGGATTTCAAGGCCGCCTCGTTGGTTGTGAAACTGAGACAGCAGTCAGCCCCCCAGTTCTCGGAGCTGGTACTCCCTGCCGAGCTCTGCCAACCACAGGCGGGTGTTGTGGCAGCTTCGGCACCAGCTCAGCTGATTGAGATCACAGGATCTGGGACCCCAGAGCCCCCACTCAGAAGAGTCCTACACGGGCGGGTATGCTCTGCTGGCTTCCAGCCGCCTCTATTCCTTCCACCCATCTAAGAACCCTCTTTTTTGGAGGCCAGGACATAAAGCTACAAGCAATCTAGCTTATCCTGACACCTTCCTCCTGACCTACCAGCTGGCTGTCTCTCTCAACACTGAGCTCCTCGTCTGACCCTGGAGTCTGGGGCCGAACAAGAACCAGTGGGGGGAAGGGGTTGTGAATGCCCACTCTGGGGAGGCAGCAGAGGTCTGGGGGAAAGGAGTGGGGAGGAGAGAGAATTCCCTCTCCAGGTTCTCGCCTTCCAGCCAGCCCTGAGCGTCCAGACAGTCCCTGTTTAGAAAGAACAGCTTTAAGAGGTTAGGAGAGCTTTGTCCTAACCCCACCCCTTGGACCTGAACAGAGAATGAATAGCTCAACAACCTCCAAACACCAGGGTCTTGAGGATCAAAAACTGCTCTCTTCATCTACCTCTGGGCCCTGATCCAGGCCTAATGATAATTAAGCAGAGCCTCATTACCCAGGGCCCTGGCGAGGCAACTGCCAGGGACCACCACAGAAGAGGTAATAAAGTGCAGCTGCTGGACTGGAGCGGGGAGCCTTTCTAGGTCAGAGCTGCTTGGGCGAGGCTAAGGAAGAAGATGAAGTGATTTGGGAGCTTCAAGGCAATGCACCTCCTGTCCCCCCAAGCACACTTCCCCCCTCAGGGGACTCAGGGAATAGGCCTGTCTGATCACTGACCACAGCCCTGCCTGACTGAAGATGAGTCCCACAGAAGGTCCGACCCTGACAGGCCATGAATTATGGAGCCTTCCCAGGCAGGACCAGGCTGCTGTTCCCTTCCCCATGTGCGGCCACCCCCACATTTCAAAAGCCGAGTGCTGCAGGCAGCTGCTCTCCCAATCCGGCTGAGAGAGATGAAAGGCCTAGCTCATCTCCGCTGAGGGCTGGCCAAGATCTCTGCTAGCTTAAGTCGGCAAGCGCTGGTCCCACTGGTTCTCAATCACCAACAAAGGGAGAAGCGGCAAAACGACCACTGGAGCAAAGTCGGGCCACTGCGGAAGGATCAGAAGTTCCTTGCCATTACTTAGCATGTGCTGGAGCTACCCAGAGCACCAAGCCTTAGGCCACAAATCACAGAGCTGGCATCCCCAGTTAAGATTCTCATCAGCCCCCATTTGAATCTAGGGACAGGCCAGTTGCAATGATATTTGGTGCCCAAGGGGCAAGTGGATCTGCTTCCCCTCCAAATTTCTGGGTTTCCCACCTTTTACATAAGTCCCCTGAGCCTAGTTCTCTGAGACCCTTGGTCCCCAGATGACGTTTACTTACTTCTTTAAGGGTTCAATCACGGTCTTTTGGATCTGGTTTACCTGTCAAAAGAAAAACCTGATGATATCAAAATCAGGGAGAAGTCAGACCCTTCCTAAAAGGGGAGGCTCCAAGTTCCCCAGAAGAGGAAGGATGCCTGCCAGGGATCCCCTAAGAGTCCTGAGCAGGGAGGAGACCAGAGCAGGGCAGGCAAAGATGGGGAACCACTAACTCTACAGCTGGAGACAGGCAAGGATGGCAGCTGGGAATAAGAAGCCCTTTCCCTGGCCCCTGGGCAGTTCTCGTCCTACTAGCCAATGTCTGCCAAGGCTTATAATGGCCCTGCTCGGTGAAGAGTGCTGGGTGGGCAGCTATAACAAGCTGTTTAGGCCCACTCAAGGGGCTAAGGGCTAGAAGAGCTGCCGTGAGTATTCCTCATGGCCTCACAGTGAGTGATGTGCGCTTACGGGAGCCACGGGAAGCAGGCAGTGCTGAAGCAGGTTAGCTTGGGCTTGCAACACAGAGGCCTCTCGGAGGGTTAGCAAGTCCAAAGAGCAGACTGAGCCCTCCATGTGAGCACGCCACTAGACAGAAAGGAAGTACTGCTCCTGGCCACCAAAGGCCAAGACCCCAGCCACCTTCTCCTGGTTGAAGGCATCCATCCGCTTCATGGCTGTATCCAGGGCTGTCACCATTTTCAAGAATTCCTGGTCTTGCTCACAGAGGGGATTGGAGAGTAAGTCCAAGGATATCTTCACGGCAGATTTTGACATGGCTATAAGAAGTAAAAGCTCAGTGAACCTACGAAAGGCTAGGCTTCAAGGTCCTCTACTCAGGGCTGCCTGCCCTTCCAGGGCTCAACACGCAGACGGTCTGCCCATGGCCACAGATTATAAAAACTACCAAGCACCATACAGGGATAAGACACTAATCCTTACTGTACAGTGCTCATTCCTGGCCATCCGACACTGTTCTGGGTAATTCTTTTGAGTAGCTTTAACTGTTGCAATTACTTAATTTTTCATACTCTATGGGCTGTAATAAAATCATCTGGGAGGCTGTAAGAAATACATATATCTGGCTCCGAAGAGTCTAATTCAGTAAATATGGAGCCCAGGAATACGCATTTTAAAAAGACTTCCTAGGAGTTTTGGATGTGAAGCTTGGTTTAGGACTCCCTTATCAACAAGAGTAACATAGGACTCTAGTTTACATCAGGGGTTGGCAAACTCTTACTGTAAAGGACTAGAAGTAAATATTTTAGGCTTTGTAGGCCATACAATTTCTGTTGCAACTACTCAACTCTGCCTTGCAGTGTGAAAACAGTCACAGACAATATGTAGAGAGTTGTGATGTGTTCAATAAAACATTATTTACAAAAACAGGCCAGACTTGGCCTGCAAGCTGAAGTCTGCCAACCCCTGGTTTATAAGGTCTGCACGCACGCACTGTCTTATTTAAGGTTCAAAACAATCCAAGAGAACATTTGGGGAAGACATATTTTGGTTCCATTTTATTGATGAGGCAAGTGAGGCTTAGAAGGCTTGGTAACTCTTCTGAGGTGCTGAGCCAGGACTGGACCTCAGCTACCCTTTTTCTCAGGTCATGCTCTTCTTTAGATCTGGTCTGGAGAAAGCAAGGGGACAGGCCCCAAGATCCTCTGGTGGGAAATCACCACACATTTTTTAAAGGAACTCTCTGGTAACACGTCCTCATGGATTGAGGCTAAAGCTCTGTAATTAACTATGAGGTGGATCTTATTTTATTGACTCTAAGACCATTTTTCCACATTGTAACATCTCTGAAATCAAGGAACCATAAAATCAAATGTTATATCCTGGCTAAATTGTCAACATTCTTTCCCCTTTCTTAGTGGTTGATACAGTAAGCGTACTATTAGTATTCGTACTACTCATTACTGTGTTAGACAGATGGGGGACATGGAAGTCACACAGCAGGCCAGAGGCAGGGATGGAGACTTGTTGGTAGCTTTGGTCCCATGCAAGTTTTCAGGTCTCCATTATTTGTAAACAAAATTCTACAGGCGCAGGGAAAGAGGCAGGAGAAGTGTCATGCTTGGTCGATATGTCTGTACCGGTTTCAGTGTATGTTGGGGTATTTCTGAGGGGAACACAATTTTTTTAATATATTTCTGACTACTGTATTTCACTGAATTGAAGACACTATCAATTGTAAGACACACCATTACTGTATAAACCACTAAGAAAGGAAAAAACACTGCCAATTAAACACACTGTCAGATGTTACAGTACTTTGATTTCAGAGATGTTAAGATGTTAAAAAAGAAAAAAAAAAAGAATCTTACAATCGGTAAAAGGAGCCCTGGTGGCACAATGGTTAAGGGCTTGGCTGCTAACTGAAAGGTTGGTGGTTTCAACTCACCAGTAGCTCCGAGGGAGAAAAGACCAAGCGATCTGCTCCTGTGAAGATTACAGCCTACAAAACCCATGGGGCAGTTCTACTCTGTTACATTGGGTCCCTCTGAGTTGGAAACGACTCGGCAGCATACAACAACAGAATCATTAACAAAGGTCCACTTCATATTTAATGACAGATATGGCCTTTCCCCATGACTCCATGGGAGTAGCACGTAGCCCTAACCCTGACCCTCCACAAGGTGTGCTTGCCCTTCCACTATGAGTTGGGAGAAACAGAAGCCAGAGGGGCCCTGCCTCACCCAAGCCCTTCAGAGGGGCCCCAAAGCAGCCCTGAGTGGACAGCCCTCAGGCAGCGCCCCTGGAGCACCACCCTGAGGTTTCTCTTGTATCTGGGAAAGTGCTACAATCAGAGGTTCCTCACCCACCAAAGAGGGCAAAAGGTGGGAGACCTGAAACGTGAACTTTCCAGAAATGTTGAAGCAATGGAGCAGGGGGGGAAAAAAAAAACCTCTTTAAAATCTATAAAGTGACTTTGTAGGTTTAGGTGCAAACATTACATGTAACGTGATTTAATTATGAAATGATGACATAAAGCATAATGAAAAGATAATAAAAACTTGGATAAAACTGGAAATGTTTCTGAAAATTTTCTCCTAGTAATTTTTTTTTTCATACTTGAGGAAAAACGAAAACAAGAAGTCCTGGAAGGAGGTGGAGGGGGAAGAATTTCTTCCATAAAACCTTCACCTCTTCATGCCTTGGTCTCTTCCTTTCTTTGCTCAAACCACATGAAGTCAAAGAACTGAGTCTGCTCAGGTAATCAACCACTGGGCCAAACGGTCTGGGGCTCCATCCCGGTAATATCATCACCTTCCGCCTGTACAGCAGATCCTGGGGCAAACCATGGTGCTAACGATGTCAAGATCACCATGGCTTCCATCTTCCCCCAGCCCAACTGTCCCCTGCCACAGCTGACATCCCTAATTCTGCCTCTGCAGGGACTAGGGGAAGCGGCATGGTCAGCCCAGTACAAACCAGGAGGCTGGTGGTCTCTTTGACCTTGGGGAAAGCAAGGCCTTAATTAGACTCCATCTGGGCCTCTGGGTCCTGATGCAGCCGACAAAATGTAAGAGTCAGCAAAGATCCAAGACAGACAGATCACTCAGAGATAACCCTGTTTTGGAACAGCAGCTTGGGATTTTAGATCTTGTCCAGGGAGTTCAGGAGATTCCAAGACCAGGAAAGGTAAAAATTCCCCTCAATTGTCTGGATCAGTGATTCTCGAAGTAGGTTCCAGACCAGCAGCTTCAGCATCACCTGGGAGCTTGTTATAAATGCAAATTCTCAGGCCTCACCCCAGATCTATCAAATCAGGAACTCCGGGGTGGGGCCCAGCGATCTGGGCTGTGACAAGCCCTCTGGTGATACTGAAGCCACAAAGGTGTGAAAACTACTGGCAGGAACCATCAGGTTCTGGCCCTGTGATGGGACAGGAAACCACTGTTTCAGGAGAGCTTTCTCTGCTCAGACTCCAGGTCGAGTTCTCTGAGGCTGACTCTATAAGGCCAGTCTACTAGGTTCCTGGAGTCACCAACTTAACCCTGGTTTCTCTGTTGGAAAACTAGGCTTTCCACAGCCACAGACTCCACCGCATGAATGCCTGGAGTTCTACCTGATTCCAAAGCTACTCACTATGAAAACAACAAATCTTCATTCCATTGATACTCTGACAACGTTATCTGGAGAAGCAGGAAGAAAAGGAATCAGTAGGTGACAGCGACGCTCTTATTGGAAGGGCAGTGGGCAATGAATGGTAGAGAGAGAGGCAATACAAGGAGCTCAGGACTGAAATAACTGCAACAAACAGGAAGAGATTAACTCCAGAAGAAAATGCTTGGCTCGCTACCCAAATAGTCTGGAGACGCTAGAGGCAGGAGTGAGGTGCAGGTCATGTTCAGACCAGCCCAAGTCCTCTGGATCAGCACCGCAGTCAGCTCTTACTTGGCTGTGGCAGCGGCAGCGGCTGCTCCCGGGGAAGGAAAAAACATTTCCTTCATTATCAGCTTTTCAAAGTGCCCCTTGCAGGAAAGATGCGTGTTTATGTAAGTAACTGGCTGGGCCTTAACATCTGGGCTAAAACGGCAACAAGTCTACCATCACTGCCTCTGTTAAGGACATACCAAAGTTTTCTTTTTAAATTATACTACCAGGAGGATCAGGATGGGCCCCAAGCCCCACCCTTAGATGCCCACTGCCCTGGAGACAGTGACACTGCCCCACATTTTGACTTTGCTCATGAGGCAGCCATGCCAGTACCGAGACAGGCCAGGTCTCAGGAATGAGGCCTATTTTGGCCCACCTTCTGGCTTAGAGGGGGCAAAGGGGTAAGCGATAAATGGGGACAGGCTTTTCTGCTCTGAGACAATGGACTGAATCTGGAGAAGAGGAGCTGGACTAAATTCAGTTTCCTCCTTTATAAAATGGATCTCGCTTGTCCTGCCAATCTCAACTTCAGAAGAGATAACGTAGGTGAAATTGGTAGATGAAATTTCCTTCACCTACACCATCAGACAGCATTACTATGTGGGTCGTGTGGCTAATGGATTTAAGATGGATTCTCAATTCTATTACTACTTCTCTTGAATTTTAGGGTCAGTGTAGACATCCTCTGGGGGAAAAGCCTGCTTCCATCTCAGGGCCTTTGCACTCGCTGTCTTCTCTGCTTGAGGTGCTCTTCCTTCGGACATACCTGCATGGATTACTCCCTCATTCCTCTGGGACTCTGTGCAAATGACACCTCCTCAGGGTGGTCTCCCCTGACCACCCCACCTAAAGCAGCACTCTGTCACTCTCCATTTCCTTAGTTTTCACAATAGCACTAACTGCTACATGACATTATAGTACATATTTATTTATTAATTTACTGTATGCCTTCCCTTCTAGAATGTAAGTTCCCACCTGGTTTAGTGGCAAATCCCTAGCATTGAGACTTATGCCTAGCACAAGTAGGTTCTCAATCAATATTTGTTGAATGAAATAAAGTGGGCAGCCCTGGGAACACCTAAGTCTCTTTCAGGTCTCCATTATTAAGTGATACGTTGGACAAGTCCTTCCCACTGTAACCCAAGGAAGGAGCCACCGAGGTGTACACAGTTATGTCCAGGTAGCCTTGCTGCTGGCGCTGCTAACAATCATGATGACGATGATGATGATAGTGGCTAACGCTCACCGAGCTTCCACATGAGGAAGCTGAGGGACCAAGAGCTTAGCTAAGTTGTCCAAGGTTCCACAAATGTTGGAATTACTCATCAACTTCTGGTCAAGTTCTTGGTGTTCTGGGGTGGGGAGGTTGATGGCATCCATTTCAGCAAAGACCTTGATGAAGGAACTCAAAGAGAAGTTTCTCATTACTCCCAGCTGTTCCCTGCCTACTCCCTGGGACACTGCCTGAAGAGAAGGCTTCCTGGTGGTGGTCTTATTTCAGAGCCTCCTTTGTCTCTTGGCTCCTGGTTCTAATCCCTCTTGTTTCAATAAGAACTTTGCAGCCACAAAACCTCCCAAGACTACTGGCTGTTTCCTAGCACCTGTTAACCTCCACTTACTACAGAACCTAATTCCAGACCTTTCAGTGCTCTTAGCAATGACAGAAGTATCCTGAAGAAGTATCTAACCCTACACTTTAACCCATTCTCTTGTTTAAACATACAGAATCTGCAGTTCCTGTCACCACTGGACAGCCAATCCCACCGGTCCCAGGTACTCTTAATTTCTGCAAGAATGGAATGCTATGCCTTTTGTCTCTGGACAGCCTAAGCTAGTGGCCCACATTCCAAGGCAGTGGATGCATTTGCAACTGTGAGCTTTTATCTGCTGCAGTCATATCTCTAACTGGAAGCTCAGGAGAGCCTCACACTCAGCACCTAAATCAAGAGTAGGGCAGGAAAAGTTTTGTAGAAAGTGTTGAGTGGTGATTTGATAATTGAAGAGTGACCTGAGGCCACTTCTCAGGGACACTGTGGCTATGTACTGAGTGCCATTACTTCAACATTAGCCTTTAGGATGACTGAGGGAGGAGTTTATCCACCTCTGCCCCCACCCCACTCCATGCCAGCCGTGGGCAGATGAGCCACCTACCCAGGTCAGCATCTGTGCTCTTCTTCATGTCCTTCTGCAGTCTTTTGGTCTGGTCTTCCAGCCTGCAATGCAGAGGCACAGGCCTGGGTCCCTGGCGCTCCCAAGTTGCTCTGGCCCCCTTTCTTCCCATATAACTGAATTAAGCCCAACCTGGCACTCTGGAATGCCTGCCAGGGAGAAGGGGCCCTTTTCCATGGGGATTTTTCCCACCAACTAAAATGCTACTACAAGCTCTGCACGAAGCCAAGTCACCCAAAGGCTAAGAGTTAACAATTCCCATACAGCCATCTATTGGGGGTTAATTTCTGGCAGCTTAGTGAGCTGAGCCGCCCTCTGCCCCAGGGCGCTAACGAGCCATTTAAGCAGCCCACTGACTGGGCCGTGCAGGAGTGAGACCCGGCAGCAGGCTCTTCGCTTATCTGACTCTCGCCTCATCCTTCTGGGGTTTCACACTCACTGTTGGAGTCTTCCATACTCCCTTTCAAAGTCTCTCTCCACCTGCAACAAAAGAGATAACTCAATCATTGGAGAAATGACAACATGGTGGAAAAAATCTCCCAGCTTACTGAAACTCTCTCCACACCCCTGCCCCCAAGCCTGCAGAAAACAACACCGTCCAGTTCATACAAGCACCAACAGATCATTAATGACACAGTATCCCAGTGTTCCCAAATTAATTAAGTGTCTGACTGAGGGAGAATGAGTCCTCTCCCAGATGGGCCATCCAGGCAAGTACCAGCGGACTGTGGCTCTGTTCTTCCACCACAGGCAGCAAGGTGCAAAGCTGTGAGCCCTCTTCTCACCATCCCCTCTCGCAGCAGCTAAGGAGCTAAGAATGTGATCCAAATTCATCCAGCGGGGTGGCAGGGCATGGAGCAAAGAGGGCAGGTTCCAGAGTCAGAAGTGCTGGGGTCCAGTGCTGCCTCTGCCACTTACTAGCTGTGAGACCTGAGCAGGTCACGTCCCTCCCATAGCCTTGGCTCCCGCATAGTCCTACCTGCCTGCTAGGTTCAGGGTGGATCAAGAAAGATGATGTATACATGCTCTGTAAGCTAGGAAATACCAAATCCTAGTATTATTATTAACTCAGGCAAAAAAAAACCCCAAAACCAAACCCGCTGCCATCGAGTCAATTCCAACTCATAGTGACCCTATAAATTCTTGATTAGTAATCAAATGTCCCCAATGCCAGCAATATTTAAACTGATGGGTGTGAGTCCTGAACCCAACTCTGCCACCTACATGTCAGGTGAAGTCAAGAAAGTGGCTTGTGCTTACAGTGCCCAAATTTCCCCTGTAAAATGGCACCTCAGCAACTGTCTTGCGCTATGTGAAGTAAACAGCCTCTACGAGGCGCCAGGATCTGCTAAAGAAGGGGACTAAGCTGGAGGCCTCTGATGTGTTCTCTGCCACAGAGGCAGTGCTGGCTCCCTGGTGAGAGGGAGGCTCCGAGGCAGGCAGGTTGGGCTTGGGGCCAAGATGCGCTGGGAGTAATAACTGCTAGCGCTCACTGGGCACTTCACATGGCCTGGATTCTTCTCCACACCTCACTGTGAGGTAATTATAACTATTAGCCTCATTTTACTGAGGAGGTAACTGAGACGGACAGGTTGAGTGACCTGCCCAAGATCACACAACTAGTGAGCAGAGGAGTGGGATTTGCACACAGGCGGCCTGGCTCCAGAACCTGTGCTTCTCACTGCGGTTCTACTGAAAGAAAAAAAAAAAGGTGTGTGTGTGGGGTGTTTGCTGATGAATTAAAGCCATGACCTAAGAAGGTAGGCTTCTTGGCTGCTACCCTGAGGCTCCTGCCAGTGAGAAACCAAAACCCTGACTCTTTTCTTACAGGTTGAGGGTCAGAGAGTGTGTATACGCAAAAATCTTCAAAGCCACACTATTCTTTACCACAACTGCTCTTCCACCAACATTTATGCAATTAAAGACTATTCTAAAACCCCATCGGCCTCACCATGCCATGTTTGGGTTTACAGTCACAGAATCACAGAACATTACTCAGGCCAATTGTTTCATGTCATGAATGAGGAGACTGATGCCGAGGGAGGGAAAGCGCCTTACATAAGGACACATGGCTGGTTAGTGGCAAAGCAAGGCCAGAATGCAGACTCCTAGTTCAGGCCTTTTTTAAAACAACACTCATTCATCTCCAAACATTTACTGAGCACCTACTGCATGCAATGGATTCTGTCAGGTGGTGGGGATACACTGGTGAAGGAAAGACAGGTCCCTGATGAGAGAGATAAACAACAAACAAATACCCATATAACTGCACACTGTGAGAAGCCCTGTGCAGGGCAGGGACTGTGAAAGAATTACATGGAGAAGTTATTTAGACATGCTAGTCAGGGTATGACAACCTGTCTCCCTTCTATGGAGATATTATCTTGCCTTCAATCATTTTTTTTCCCTTTAATAATTTATTTTATTTTGTTGTTGTTGAAAATATACGCAACAGAACATACACCAATACGGCAATTTCTACATGTATAATTCTTCGAGTTGTGTGACCATTCCCGCCCTCCTTTTCCGAATTGTTCCTCCTCCATTAACATAAACTCACTGTCCCTAAGCTTACTGTCTAACCTTTGGAGTTGCTGCTGTCAATCTGATCCCTTACAGACAGTTCTTTAAAAGAGCACAACACTCAATTGCCTTCAATCATTTAAACTGTAAAATTTAGAGGCACAAAAACATGGTCTATTCCTGACTTTACGATCCCAGCATTGAAGCCTTACACAACGCTGTGAAGTAAAATTCATCACTGGTACCTCAGCCTCTGATCCTACAATCTCTTTTCCTTTTTTTAAACAGACCTACCCCTTCTCCATCCAGGGAATCCAATATTTTCATTATCAGCTTCCTTATGATCCATCAAAAGCTGCTCTTAAGAAGAAATTCAGAATGCATTCACACTAAAGCACACACACTTGACAAAAGTTTCAAGTGTTACCTATCCAGGGGATTTGTAGTTCAAGAAGAATCGAAGTCTTAAGCCAAAGGAATGGAAATCCTATGGTGCAACTGCAGGTGGAATCTTTTCTTGAACAGTCCATGAAGGAATGTGGTTTAAAGGAATGAGCACAGACAAGATAGGAACTCTGATACTAGCTGTGGAGCCTTAAAAAATAATACCTAGCATTTCTGAGCATCAGTTTCTTTCCTAGTAAAATGACGAGAATTTCACTTAGTCATACCCCATGTAAATTTTAGGGGGTTTATAAGTAAGCGGGGATAACAACATCTGCCTCACTGGGTTGTCTCGAGGATTAAAGAGGCAGGGTATGTGGAGCACGGAATCCCTGGGTGGTGCAAATGGTTAACACACTCAGCTGTTAACTGAAAGGTTGGAGGTTGGAGTACACCCAGAGATGTCTTGGGAGAAAGGCCTGGCAATCTACTTTCAAAAAATCAGTCATTGAAAACTCTATGGAGCACAGCTCTACTCTGACACACATGGAGTCACCATAAGCCGGAGTCGACACGACGGCAACTGGTAATTGGTAATACATAGAGCATACAGCAAAGTGCCTGGCCCATAGATGGTGTGTACTAATTGCTGGTTTCCTTTTTCCTGTCCTACATACTGGGGTGATGAAAGGACCAGAGCAGTCTGGAGATGCAGACTGGTTCTGGTCCACTTTTGGCAGAGAGGAGAAGCAGCCCAAGGCATACAGTAAACTGACAGCTGAGATTACCCTCGGTTGGCTAAACCTGGAGTTGCCCTATGCCTGTGCACTATAACTGTGCCTCCCTTCAGTGGACACATCGCCTTCCTTATTGAATAGGATATGCTGAGCAGAATCTTTAAATATCAGAAGTATTCATTTCCAAAAAAGATGAAATTAAAGTGCAGGATTTCTTGGGCAGAATCAAGCTCTCCTCAAGATCAAGAGCACAGAGTAGGTACCCTCTGGAAGGGGAGGCAGGAGCACCTGCTGAACCACCAGAGATACAGCCTTTGGCTCCCACTCCTCTCTTTTGCAATTCTCCAAGTGTGCTGATGTGTGTGTGGGATGTCAGAGAACACCTGGTCTCCCTGGCTGGGGACTGCTGGGACTTGCACAGAGAAGGATGACTTCAGGTTTCCAAGTAGGCTGGATAATTCTGGTTAATGAAAAACTCAAGGTCTCATATTGGAAGCTGACAATGGTGTCAAGGATGGGAGCTCAATCCTTCTGCTTTATGCCACCTAAGGCCATCTGACAGCTTAAGAGAAGTTCATAAGCATTTCACTTCCAATGCCTCCAGCAGCCAGATGCTGGGTTGCTTGTATATAGCTCACTGGTCCTGAGATCACTCTCCTCCAGTGGGAAAAGACCCAAGGGGGACAACGCCAGAATCCTACCTCCTCAGATAATGGCTAGGGGAATAAAGGGGCACACAGCAGTCTCATTCCAATATATTCATTCTGAGGGAAAGAGCCAAATAGAAGAGATCTGAACATCTCTGAATGTTTGATTCCTTTGCCAAAAAGACAACTGGACCCCAGTCAACAATGCAAGTGTAAACACATGTGCACAGTCTGTCAGGGGATCAGGATGGGCTGGGTCAGGCTGGCGAGGTTAGTGCAGGGAGAATCAAGCACCAAACGGCTACCCTCAGCTACTCCCTGCATTCTCAAAGGCTTAGGGTGGACGGGAGGAACTGTGCCATTCACCGCTCTATATCTAGTGCCATGGTCAGGCCCTGGCACATAGCAGGAACCACCTGTTAAGTGAACGAATGGGCTGAGTCCCACCCAATCTTCCACTCATGGTGAAGTGAAAAAGGACAGACAGGCCCAGGGTTCTGATCCCAGAGCTAAGGTGTGTCAGATCAGAGCTGAGGCAGAGGGAGCCCTCAGTATTCTGAAATGCCCCTCTTCAGGGGACACTCTGGGTAGAAAGTAGCCTTCCCTTTCGAATATTACAACAGGATTAAGGGATGAAGCTAAGGGCCCCTCCATATTGCATGTGAAAATCTTTCCCAAGTGGAGAGGTTCAACTTGGTAAGACCCTGTGTTGCCCTGACTTCACAGACCGCCATCTAGCTGTGAATCCAAGTGGGCACTTTCCTTTGTGCAACACTTGCTTGGGAGGGAGACAGAGAGCAGAACTTCAAAGTGCTCTTCCATCCTTCCAGGTTATGGAAGGAAGTTCAGCTTCTTTTCTCCACACCAAGATGCTACAGCTATTTTATGAGACTTGGGGGAGTGGGAAGGGACTAAGTGGAAGGTTAAAATTGGGAGGTGGGGAGCTTTTGTTCCTACATTTCAGTTCCAATGGTCAGCTCCTGCAGAGAACATGCCATTCTAGCAAAAGCCCTAACAATAATGGAATTTGCCTTAATAACCTGGGCACAGGAGAACAGTCAGGGCAAAGACACAATGCTTTCTTTGTGTCTGACAGTTGGGTGCCTTGAGCCAAAAACCTTCTGAAACTCCCTGAAGATAACATGAGCATTTCTTCCCATGACAGGGGCTCCATGACTTCTAATAACCCAGGGAGCCACATCTGCTCCCCTCCCTGAAAGTGCCTGGGCAAGAATAACTGTGCGTCACCACTGTTCAGGGGGCAGCTGCCAGAGATGCTGAGACAACTGCACAGTCCAGGCCTGTTTGGGGGCCGGGAGGGAGTTATAGAGAGTGAGCCTCTGAAGAGGCAAGGTCTTGCTACATACACTTCAGTGCTTTTAGGGGAGCTTAGGGGCATAAGTCAAGGAAGCAAATAACTCTATTCCAAGCTGTAACTCGGCTTTGATTCCATGTCAGAGATCAAAGGCCCAGCCATGATTCCTTTGCACTGGGGAACCCAGCTGCTTGGGATAGGCGGAACCCGGGTTAGTTTATAGAGAGTAAAATCAACGAACTTCCTGTCATGTAGTTAATATTTGTTGAGGGCTATGTGCCAGACACTGTGTTAAGAGCTTTATATGTATTACCTCATGTAAGACTTACAATACGTCAATGAAATAGTATTAGTGTATTGATTACGTAATAGTGTGACTGAAATACTATTATTGTCCTCATTTTACAAATGCAAAAACTGAGGCTCAGAGAGGTTAAGGAACTTGCCCAAGGTCTCAGCGCATGGCAGAATCAGGATTGGAATCCAGGCTGGGAGCCTCCCAACCTTGGATTTTTAACCTCTACATGACATCCAGTCTGTCTGGGAGAGCTGATGCCATGAGTCAGAGGTCTAAGATTCCATTCCAAACAAGACAGATGCAAGAAGAGGGAAGCTGTGGGCCCACAAAAGGCCATCCGCAGGAGCGAACGGTTTTTTCAGATGTGTGATCTGTCCTTCTCCTGGGAAGTCACTGCCACTCCTCAGATTAAAGGACCCAGAGATCTTTCTGTCAACAAGCTCAGGCAAAGAAGCTGGAAACTGGCTTCTAGCCTACACGTTTCTGTGGAAAACAAAGGTTATTTCCACAAAGACTAGGGTACTGAGAGTTATTTTACTTTTAATTTTTTTTTTAGTGAGTGTTGGGAATTAAAGACCCTTCTCCAAACCACTTCCCTTTCAGATCTGCCCTGGATTAAACTCTAGAGACTCAAAGCCACACCTTCCCACTTCCTGTAGCCGGCTAGAGCCCAACATTTGCACGCCCAGATTCTTTGAGTTTCAGCTGAGAGCCTACACAGATGGTCAGCCTCTGCATGGGAGGTAAACTCTGAGTTTGTCAGCGACCTGCTTGCATGAAAAAGGGGAGGGCTCTTTTAACTCTGGCCCACTTCCTTTTAAGTGACCTAACTTTGGATTTCCCAAAGATAGAGCCACTGGTCAGATGTGTGCCAAACTTCCCACCAAACTGAAGCAATCTCTTCCCTGTAGTTCTGAGACCTGAGCCAAGGAGGGATGAAATTATTAAGATAAGAACTCTCAGGGGCTGACACGGTAGAGACAAAGGTCCCCACACGCTGACAGTGCTGGACTTCCTGGAGACTGTCGTAAAAGATGCTCTACAGTTACTGTCTTTCATGCTAAAACCAAGAGACTCGCTCAGATTTGTGGGAGAGGGGACTGAAGAGGCTATTCTTGACAAGAATTCCAGCATCTTGGGAGATCTTCATTGCCTGAGGCAGCATAAAGCAATGAAAAGAGTATTGAAGAGACTCAAACTGGAGTTCTAATTTCAGCTCTGCCTGGATCATGTTTTTATAACCTTAGCAAAGTCACTGCAATTCCACGGGCCTTGATTTCTTCATCAGGAAAAATCAGGAGGCTGGATTAGATGATCTCTAAGGGCTTCCAGATCTAACTTTTTAAAAATCTACAATTCTCCTCCTCTCCCTTCTGGAGATAAAACAGGGTAAAGCCCATGGCCTTAAAAGGATGGGAAAAAGGTGGGGGGGGGGACACCTGATTCAATCATCTTCTCCTGCTGAGTGTCTCTAGATCACAGCCAAGAACGCATTTAGCAGTGATGAGAAAAGGGGTCTGGACCACCTGGAGAACTTCCTGGTCTTTTACCCAGCTGAGGTAGCCAGAAACGCAGGCCTTGGACATGTCCTTGGCAGAGGCCTGTGTTTCTGGAGCCCTCTTAGGAAAAGTGCAGACTACTATACCAATCCTAGAAATGGACTGTTCAGAAGTCATGCTTTCCTCTACGCCCTGTAATCCACTTCTTCTATTTGCTCAGGGAAGGGGAAGAGCCCAAGCTGATTTGAGAGGCGAAAAAGTGCCAGGACATGAGGCCCCTGAGAGCTCCAGTCTATATGAGGTTCTAGATAGACATGACTGGGAATAAGGCCCAGGTTTTCTGCCTTCCCAGACACAAGATGTGTTGAATCAAATCTCTGGTTCTCTACAAAGGCCATGTGAGACAGAACTGAATCTCAGAAAGAATTACTCACTGTTTTAGGGATGATCTGTTTCTTGGGCTGCCCAATCTTGAAAGGAATCCTAAAAGAGAAAGAGACAAAGAGGGAAATTATGAGAAATGAGGTAGAACAGAAGAAATGTGGCTGAAGAGAAATGATACAACATAGGCCCTTTTTTTTCCCAGGAGGGTAAAGAACCGTGCAGTGGCTAGCTATTTCATACTTGTGCCAAGGGCCCTGGTGGGCCTAGAATCGTTAGCATTCAGGCTTGGTTCTAGAAGAGTGATCCTCCCATCAACAGTATCCAACAGAGGTTCCTGGGCACTGCCTTCTGCCCCAGAGCATTTTCCCTACTTGCAGTTTGTCATTAAACACATTTAAAGGGTAGGAAAGGGGAGATAATGTAAGATTAACAATCTATAAACCTTGTGTCTTGACGAGTTGCAAAGTTCAAAATTACAGGCTGACTTTAATAGCTATCATCCTTGAAAATATTCCTTTACAAACACCATAAAAATCACTTATCATTTATATTAGTTTATTCACTATTTCTCTGTAGAGGGACAAACTGTGGATCTGAAGAGCTTCTTGGGTGGCTGGGGAGATGGCAAATTGTAGGGGCATTAACGACTGGCCAGGCTGGGTTACTTCCTTCTGAAAATTGAGAAAATCGAAATGTGGCTAACTTGGAGAAGAATCTGAAATTCAGCCCAAGTGTGCTTTGAACTTGCTGTGAAGTGCTACCCGACTGCCTGCTTTCAAATGGAAGATGGATAGGGAGGCAGCTAGGCATAACGGAAGATGGCCCAGCCTCCACCTCCAATAAACTGGCTGCCTTTTGGTTTAATTTCTTACTCTGTAAAACTGAAGAGTTAATCTAGATAATTTAGAAGCTTCCTTAAGGCACTGAAAATTATATGATTCTATAATTCTGAGAATAAAAGAACTGGAGTCAGGCTAGAAAGCAAACCAAGTGCATCCAGACAGCTACAGGAATGGTAGGCTTCTCCCCTACCTGGGGGAGAAGTGAAGAATTCCTGGAATTAGCACAAGGGTAAGGGCTATAGCAGGAGAGTCCTGAGGGTACCAGACTAACCAGCTACTCTCACTACTTTTCCTTCCGGCTTTAATTCAAACCTCCCGCGCGTCCAATGCTGCAACTGACCCAGTCCTCCAGGCCCCAGATCCCACCCTTCCCTTCACACCCCCTTCTCCCTGAGCCTGGTTTGATATGGCCCAAACTGACCAACACTGTTTCTAAACCCAACGGTATAATTAACTACCGATAATAACCCCAGACAACGATCTGGTTGAGAGGATAGGCCAGCCTGAGTCACAGTGGTTTAAATTTAATTTCTGGAGGACATCCTGTTTATTGTTAACCCAGCCCCGTAATTTGGGAGCGTTAACCCTTTGGGGGCTGGCTGATTCACGTGGCTTCTGTAAACAAATAATCTTTGGCTGTATAATTACCGGGGGAAAGACTGGCCATGAAGCTGAAAAGAGAAGAAAAATACAATTGTTATTTCCTTTTTTCAGACTTAAAGAGAGAAAGTTCAAGAGGAGATGATCTCCTCAGCCCTGTCCTCATGGCCTCAGTTACTTTCCCCCAAGTCAGGGATTGGAGTTGACTGACACAACGGTTTTGGACAGCAGACAACTGCCCTCAAGGACCACTTTGGTAACAGTGCAAATGAAGTCCTGGTGGCACTGTTAAAAGATCGGTTGTTCTCCTTAAGAAGTACGTTATGGTATAAAAAGCTCTAGACCAGGAATCAGAAGACCTGGTCTCTGCCTCTGACTAGTTTTGTGGTTTGAACAAATCACAAGTCTCTGGAGCCTAGTTTCTTAAACTCTAAAACAAGTAAGTTAAAATAGATGGTCCCTTCAGCTTTAAAACTTGGGAGTCTAAATGGAATCTCTATCCCAAGAATATGGCGAATAAAGATGTATCTACAGAATTCGCAGAGTGGTCTTCAAAATGATTCTAACTGAAAGTCTAGTACTATGGACCAGGTACTAAGAAATTAGGAACTTAGATTCCATTATTTGTAGTGTCACAGCCTCTCTCTAAATCTTTAGAATCACAGTATTTTTAGATCTCTAAGTTACCATAGAAATGTTTCCATTTCAACCCTCTCGTTTTGTAGATGAAGAAAGAAATCTGGAGAGGTCCAGTGACTAGCCCAAGGTCACTCTGCTAGTTCACAACAGAACCAGGAATAAACAATCAGATCTCCTGACTTCCAGTCCAGTTTTCTCTCTACTACTAATATTTTAACACTGTGTTTATATGAATTTGTTAAACGTACTTGAAGAAATTATAAAACAATCATTTGATCCAACTATCCAGTCTTAAAGCACTACGGAATTGGAAGGGGCTCAGCATTCTACATGAGACTGAAAACGAAAGAGAAGAGCATTATCACGAGGAAGGCTTGTGCTGAACTGGGTGCTTCCATACAAATTAAAGGTTAAGTATACAATGTAGATTGAACCAGGCCTCTTTTTTTGTATTCCCACTTCAATTACTGAAGATCTATATATATAACTTTATCATACTATTCTGATTATTTTCTTAACTCACTTGCTCAAGGCTTAGTTCTACCTGTTGGAAGACTGTCCTTTTTTTAAAAAAAAATAAACTTTTAATTTTAAAAGTTTTAGATTTTAAAAATAAAAAAAATTACAGGAAAACTGCAGATAGTACATAATTCCCATATGCCTCATACCCAGTTCCCCCTATTATTAACATCTTAGATTAGTATCATATATTTGTCACAATTTTATGAACCAATATTGATACATTAACTAAAGTCCATACTTTATTCAGATTTCCTTAGTTTTTACCTAATGTCCTTTTTCTATTCCAGGACTCCATCCAGGAAACCACATTACATTTAGTTGTCATGTCTCCCTAGGCGTCTCTTGGGTGTGACAGTTTTTCCGACTTTCCTTGTTCTGGATGACCCTGACAGCTTTAAGGAGTGCTGGTCAGGTATTTCATAGAATGTCCCTTAATTAGAATTCTTCTGTTTTTCTTGTGATTAGACTAGGGTGATGGGTTTTGGGAGGAACATTACAGAGATAAAGTGCCATTCTCATCACATCCTATCAAAGGCACATGCTACCAACATGACTTATCACTGTTGATGCTGACCTTGATTACCTGGCTGAGGTAGTGTTTCCCAGGTTTCTCCACTGCAAAGTTACTCCCTGCACCCCTTTCCACAGTACAGTCTTTGAATGGAAGTCACTATGTGCAGCCCACATGAAGGAGTAGGAAGTTATGCTCCACCTTGAGGGAAGAGTGTCTACATATATCATTTGGAATTCTGCACAGGACATTTGTCTATTCTCCACCATTTATTTATTTATTCAATCATTTATTTATCTTAGTATGAACTCATGGATATTTATTTTATACTTTGGTTTACAATCCAGTACTATTTCATTGCTTAAATTGTCTCAGCTTTGGCCATTGGGAGCTCTTTCAATTGGCTCCCGTGTCCTTGTGACATACCGCCAACACTGTGCATGTTTTAGCACTTCCTTACTTTCTGGCACCGCAACATGGTCCAGGCTCATCCCGTATATTTCCTGCCCCAGTCCTAGAATCAGCAGAGAAACTTCTCACATCAGCATTCAATGTGCCTCTATGATACGGTCTCAACCCTCCTTTCATTCAGTCTTCTTTCCCATCACACTCAGAACAACTACGCTGTTTCAGCCAAATGGCTCTGTTCATGAATCCCCAAAATGCAGACTTCTTATAATTTCCTGTCCCAAACTGGGACATTTCTGAGTGCCAAAGGGAGTGCCATTAACTACCTTACATAATCACATCAGAACAACAGGCATAAACCTGGACTGTCCAGGACAAACCAGGACTTATGGTCACCCAACCTGCATGGAATGTTTTCCCTTCTCCTGGCTTTCTCAAGTCCAAAATCTCTCTTATCTTTTTTAAATGTCTAAGACTTACTTGGCATTTTTAAATATTCTACTTTTTATAGTTAACAACACTTTATCCTTTTAAAAAGCAAAACATGCTTATCAGAAAAAAGCTTTACAAATACAGAGAAGTTAAAAAAAGGAAAAAAAA